ACTGGCCAGGACTTGTATTACATGGTCAACTGACTGTAGTACTTACTTAAACACTCGCTGATGGTAGTACTTTTTGACATGACTGTGTATCCACCATCAGGACTGGCCAGGACTTGTATTACATGGTCAACTGACTGTAGTACTTACTTAAACACTGGCTGATGGTAGAACTTCCTGACGTGACTGTGTATCCACCATCAGGACTGGCCAGGACTTGTATTACGTGGTCAACTGACTGACTGTAGTACTTACTTAAACACTGGCTGATGGTAGAACTTCCTGACATGACTGTGTATCCACTATCAGGACTGGCCAGGACTTGTATTACGTGGTCAACTGACTGTAGTACTTACTTAAACACTGGCTGATGGTAGTACTTCCTGACGTGACTGTGTATCCACCATCAGGACTGGCCAGGACTTGTATTACATGGTCAACTGACTGTAGTACTTACTTAAACACTGGCTGATGGTAGTACTTCCTGTCCTGTTTGTGTAGCCCCCGTCTGGACAGGTTATACATGAGAACTGGCCTGAACGTGGCTGATAAGTATTGAGAGGACAAATGACACAGTTTCCACCATTCCCAGAAACAAACTTATAGCCAGCAGTACAAGGAGCTGAAGTAATCCAAAGTTTGTACATTAAGATCATGAACACTTCAATCTTTTATTTATTAACGTTATAGACAGATTAAAATATGGCAAGAAGATACTCAAATCTTTGAAGAAATAAGTTTTGAATAATCAATGTTCTTCAATAATTCATAATATGAAACAAGGTGTTGCTGATCAAAACTTGTTTCCTCGATGTGTTAAAAATGACTTTCTATTTATAATAACAGTGACCTTGACATTTGAACTTTTGACCTCAAAAGCAATCCAATAAGAAAGCAGTGCGGGAAGTTTGAGTAAGATTGGTCCAAGGGACCTCAAGATTGATTTTCAACATGTGGTGATGCAGACAGATTGAATGACAAACAAACAGTGGCATTACACTATTGACTTCCAATCTTTGGTCGGGGAGTATAAATACCATAAGTCATGTGATCTGTTTTAACACAAATGAGAACAGTCTTAACAATATGACATCTTAAAAAGCCTTTTCTATTTTAGAAAGATTTTGAAATTGTACAAATTAAAAAAAAAATCACAGTATAATTATGATTGATGGATCTATTCTTTGACCCCAAAGATTGTTTATCTCACATTACGACTCAAAATCATTGAAGCTTCACCCAAAGTTTTTGTTTAAATATGAAATGAATGTAAAGATGCCAAAGTAATACATACAGACTGTGCAGACAGAGACACTGGTGGCTGTGTTGGAGGGAGTAGTGTAGCCATTAGGGCATTTTTTACATGTCCAGGACTCTGTCTTGTTCCGGTAGGTACCCCTGGGACAGGCCAAACACTGTGTATCTGTTAGATAGGTCCCAGCAGGACAATCCCCTACAAATTGTACAAACATAACATTGAAAAAAAAATTACTGATAAACATTCTCAGTTCTATCCTATAATGATACAATAAACATTCTCAGTTCTGTCCTATAATGATACAATAAACATTCTCAGTTCTGTCCTATATAGATACAATAAACATTCTCAGTTCTATCCTATATATGATACAATAAACATTCTCAGTTCTGTCCTATAATGATACAATAAACATTCTCAGTTCTGTCCTATAATGATACAATAAACATTCTCATGATTCTATCCTATATATGATACAATAAACATTCTCAGTTCTATCTTATAATGATACAATAAACATTCTCAGTTCTATCCTATAATGATACAATAAACATTCTCAGTTCTATCCTAAGATGGAATAAACATTTTCAGTTCTGTCCTATAATGATACAATAAACATTCTCAGTTCTGTCCTATAATGATACAATAAACATTCTCAGTTCTATCTTATAATGATACAATAAACATTCTCAGTTCTATCCTATAATGATACAATAAACATTCTCAGTTCTGTCCTATAATGATACAATAAACATTCTCAGTTCTGTCCTATAATGATACAATAAACATTCTCATTCTCAGATACAATTCTGTCCTATAATGATACAATAAACATTCTCAGTTCTGTCCTATAATGATACAATAAACATTCTCAGTTCTGTCCTATAATGATACAATAAACATTCTCAGTTCTATCCTATAATGATACAATAAACATTCTCAGTTCTATCCTATAATGATACAATAAACATTCTCAGTTCTGTCCTATAATGATACAATAAACATTCTCAGTTCTGTCCTATAATGATACAATAAACATTCTCAGTTCTGTCCTATAATGATACAATAAACATTCTCAGTTCTATCCTATAATGATACAATAAACATTCTCAGTTCTATCCTATAATGATACAATAAACATTCTCAGTTCTGTCCTATAATGATACAATAAACATTCTCAGTTCTGTCCTATAATGATACAATAAACATTCTCAGTTCTGTCCTATAATGATACAATAAACATTCTCAGTTCTGTCCTATAATGATACAATAAACATTCTCAGTTCTATCCTATATAGATACAATAAACATTCTCAGTTCTATCCTATAATGATACAATAAACATTCTCAGTTCTATCTTATAATGATACAATAAACATTCTCAGTTCTATCCTACAATAATAGAATACTTTTTTTTAATTTCAAGATTATTCCTTTCAAAGACATTGATAATGACACTATGTAATAACAAAACTTGCTATATGAATTTAACTCAAATTTTTTCTTAAACATATAAAACTAACATAATAAATAGACAACTTACTACATGTACTAATGTATTTACCGTATGTAATAAGTGTAGACAACTTACTACATATACTAATGTATTTACCGTATGTAATATGTGTAGACAAGCCACATACTGACAGGTGTGGAAATTTTACCATCAAACAATAGCAGGGTTAACAATGTAAACAGGTCTTACTCTGACATGCAAGGGAGTTGTTGGATTTGGTATATTGTGTGGTGTAGCCCGTCCCACAGGGAATGCACGAAGTCCGCCATTTCTCGTTGGAGTAAGTACCAATAGGACAGTCCTTGCAGGTCAGGGTAGCAGTATCACTGTAGGTACCATGTTCTGTACAGCCCACTGTGTCAAATCATTGTTTCAAATTAGCCAACATCAATAAAACTACAACTTGTACAAAACTTACTGATCCCTCTACAAGGGACACTTGTTTACACAAAGCCAAGGACGTGGCACCAGTCATCATTATAAGATACTTACATACAGAACACATAGTATGGGAGGTGGCACCAGTCATCATTATAAGATACTTACATACAGAACACATAGTATGGGAGGTGGCACCAGTCATCATTATAAGATTCTTACATACAGAACACATAGCCTGGGAGGTGGCACCAGTTATCATTATATGATTCTTACATACAGAACACATAGCCTGGGAGGTGGCACCAGTCATCATTGTAAGATACTTACATACAGAACACATAGCCTGGCAGGTGGCACAAGTCATCATTGTAAGATTCTTACATACATAACACATAGCCTGGGAGGTGGCACCAGTCATCATTATAAGATTCTTACATACATAACACATAGCCTGGGAGGTGGCACAAGTCATCATTATAAGATTCTTACATACATAACACATAGCCTGGGAGGTGGCACCAGTCATCATTATAAGATTCTTACATACATAACACATAGCCTGGGAGGTGGCACCAGTCATCATTATAAGATTCTTACATACATAACACATAGCCTGGGAGGTGGCACCAGTCATCATTATAAGATTCTTACATACATAACACATAGCCTGGGAGGTGGCACCAGTCATCATTATAAGATTCTTACATACATAACACATAGCCTGGGAGGTGGCACCATAACACATAGTCATCATTATAAGATTCTTACATACATAACACATAGCCTGGGAGGTGGCACAAGTCATCATTATAAGATTCTTACATACATAACACATAGCCTGGGAGGTGGCACAAGTCATCATTATAAGATTCTTACATACATAACACATAGCCTGGGAGGTGGCACCAGTCATCATTATAAGATTCTTACATACATAACACATAGCCTGGGAGGTGGCACCAGTCATCATTATAAGATTCTTACATACATAACACATAGCCTGGGAGGTGGCACCAGTCATCATTATAAGATTCTTACATACATAACACATAGCCTGGGAGGTGGCACCAGTCATCATTATAAGATTCTTACATACATAACACATAGCCTGGGAGGTGGCACCAGTCATCATTATAAGATTCTTACATACATAACACATAGCCTGGGAGGTGGCACCAGTCATCATTATAAGATTCTTACATACATAACACATAGCCTGGGAGGTGGCACCAGTCATCATTATAAGATTCTTACATACATAACACATAGCCTGGGAGGTGGCACCAGTCATCATTATAAGATTCTTACATACATAACACATAGCCTGGGAGGTGGCACCAGTCATCATTATAAGATTCTTACATACATAACACATAACCTGGGAGGTGGCACCAGTCATCATTATAAGATACTTACATACATAACACATAGCCTGGGAGGTGGCACCAGTCATCATTATAAGATTCTTACATACATAACACATAGTGTGGGAGGTGGCACCAGTCATCATTATAAGATTCTTACATACATAACACATAGCCTGGGAGGTGGCACCAGTCATCATTGTAAGATTCTTACATACATAACACATAGTGTGGGAGGTGGCACCAGTCATCATTATAAGATTCTTACATACATAACACATAGCCTGGGAGGTGGCACCAGTCATCATTATAAGATTCTTACATACATAACACATAGTGTGGGAGGTGGCACCAGTCATCATTATAAGACACTTACATACATAACACATAGCCTGGGAGGTGGCACCAGTCATCATTGTAAGATTCTTACATACCTAACACATAGTGTGGGAGGTGGCACCAGTCAGCTCTGTGAGATACTTACATACATTACACATAGTCTGGGAGGTTGCACCAGTCGACTCAGTGATGAAGCCTGTGGGACACATCTGACATTGAGTTTGTGAGCGGTCTGAACGGTTTCGATAATAACCACGTGCACAAGAAACACACAACATGTTAGAAGAATTGTATTCGGAACCAGAGGCGCAATCCACTGAAAGAATTCAAAACAGATATGTTACATGTTTGAGTATCAATATATGAACCAAGGTTTAAGTCCAAATCAATGCAAGCTGTTCCCTTGTCTCATAACTTGTACATTTCTGATTTCCTGTTTCATAACTTGTACTCTTCTGATTCCTTGTCTCATAAATTGTACACTTCCAATTCCCTGTCTCATAACTTGCACACTTCCAATTCCCTGTCTCATAACTTGTACACTTCCAATGCCTTGTCTCATAACTTGTACACTTCTAATTCCCTGTCTCATAACTTGTACATTTCCAATGCCTTGTCTCATAACTTGTACATTTCCAATGCCTTGTCTCATAACTTGTACAATTTCCAATTCCCTGTCTCATAACTTGTACACTTCCAATGCCTTGTCTCATAACTTGTACACTTCCAATGCCTTGTCTCATAACTTGTACACTTCCAATGCCTTGTCTCATAACTTGTACACTTCCAATGCCTTGTCTCATAACTTGTACACTTCCAATGCCTTGTCTCATAACTTGTACACTTCCAATGCCTTGTCACATAACTTGTACATTTCTGATTTCCTGTCTCTTAACTTGTACACTTCCAATTCCCTGTCTCATAACTTGTACACTTCTAATTCCCTATCTCTTAACTTGTACACTTCCAATGCCTTGTCTCTTAACTTGTACACTTCCAATTCCCTGTCTCATAACTTGTACACTTCCAATTCCCTGTCTCTTAACTTGTACACTTCCAATGCCTTGTCACATAAATTGTACACTTCTAATTCCCTGTCTCATAACTTGGCTGAGAAGTTGGTTTACAGAGTGACACTAACTTTTACCATTTAACAAAGTTTTCTATAGATTAATAAAACTTACAGACACAGTCGGAAGCCAGGGTAGATTTGGTACTCAGGGTCACTCTACCAGTAGAACAGGGTTTACATGTGTCCTGCCACTTTTCGTCCTGGTAAGTATCATACCCACACTGTCTACAGCTCGGCGGATTCAGTGCCTTGTTCAAGTAATATCCAGGAAGACACCCATCTGTAACATAAACAAATCACTCAATTCATTTGTTATTTGTTACGCAGGGGTTCCTACAGAACTTACATTCAATATTTTCCCCAGATCTTTCTACAGACCTGTCAATGTTACAAGGTGATCATACAACATTACCCAGGCACAAACTTACGGACTATACATTCACTGGCAGAAGTTGAACCATTTCCTTCTGTGATCATGTTATTCTGACACATTGTACAGGGTGCGGCAGCTTTTTCAGCTTTGAAGAAACCTATAGGACACTCTGTACAAATGCCTCCGACATCCTCTTGGCCCGCTGGACATTGCACTGTAAGTAGAAAATGTTGTTATCATAGCTAAAACATGAAAATTTAACCTTAAAATTTGATGTTTGTTATAAAGCTGTGTGATAATTTATTTATATAAGTGTATTATAACCTAAACATACTTACAAATACAATCTGTTAGACTTGTCGACATGGTTTCCACAGTAGTCTTTGGTGACGGACATTGTGTACAAAATGTCTGCCATTTCTCAGGCTGGTAATATCCCTTGGGACATGCCACACAGGTATTGGTACTGGTGTCACGCCTTTCACCTGCTGTACAGTTAGCTGGAACAGACAATGTTTTCTATATCTATACACTGGTTCCCTAGTAAATATTACAAACCAGTTAATCAAAATAGGGCATGATAAAAACATGATCATACAAATGTAACAATTTCAAGGCTATCAAGAAATCAATCCTAAATGGCAGTGATAATTTCAACAAAGAAATTTGGCAGTTGCCACAAATTTGATATAAACTATACTATCATCTCCCAGTTGCCCAATCACAAATTCTTGCCTGTGGACAGACAAACACTAACTTACCAACAGTACAATCACTCTCCTTTTCTGTGGCCATGCCAGCAGTAATTTTGGCATTCCCACACATTGTACACATAGAGAATTTATAAACATCATTGTCCTTAAAATATCCAATGTCACAGTCGCTGCAGGTTCCATCTGGCAATTTTTCTTTACCACTTGGACAGTAACCTAGACAAATGAATAAATACTATTTAGCTTAAACAAATGTTCTATTAAAAGCATTTAACTTTTATTAAGCAGACAGAATTAGTAATTACCTATGTGAATTTTGTAAATGATAAGTTAATGTCAGCCTGTGTATTTACTGTATTATAGTTAATTTAGACATTTTATTTACATCCTTGTGCTTGTTTGATGTGACACTAACGGATCCCTACAGATCCTCAAGTGACAAAAAGCCAGACAATACCTCTCTACCAAAAATATGCGTGACTTACTCTCACAGGCTGAGGAAGCTGTCGAGTTCTCTTGGCGGGTAGACTCTGTATTGGGACAGGCACGACACACTGTCTGGTGAGGCAGATTCTGGAAAGTTCCGAGAGGGCAGCTCAAACATGATGTATCATCGTTGTTCCTCTTGGTACCAGGAAGGCAGTCACCTGAATTCAAGAGACAATATTAATAACAATAAAAGGGACAAAGGTTTTGAAGATAATTATTGAAACAATAGCCAATTTACTTTTATTTTGTCTACTATAAGCCCTGGAAGCAAGTGTAGGAACTCAAATTTGACTGCCTAAACAGTATTTACCATGACAGCTGTTTCAAATAAATCTGTGAACCTGGTTGGAAAAAGGTTGAGATAAATGTGATGAAAACAAGACAGAAGCAATGAAGATGAGTGTGAGTACACATATTATGTATTATTATGTTGTATAATGATACAGGAAATACCTCCACTCATCTTCTATAAAAAAGTGAAAAAATAATGCTGGACTAATGTTTGATGTAATCGCTGAAATGTATAACTAAATGTATTTTAGGGTTTATTAAACAAAAAGTTAGAAGTTTCATTTGATGGCATAAATAACCAAGCTAAAAGGTTTCTCAGTACTTACGGATGATACATAAACTGACATTGCCAGATTTTGGATTGGCAGTAACATAATTTTCAGGACAGGCAGTGCAGTTCATAAACAGATCTATACTATTATCCTTGTAGAAGCCAACATCACATTCTGAACAGCTGCCGTCACTTTTCTTCTCCTCACCAGTTTCACAGTAGGCTATAAAGAAGTGAACAAACATGTTACAACCAGGAAAATTATACAACCACACACAGAAATATCAGAAATAAATGATATGTGTAAAAATGAAGTTACATATTTATTCTTCATATCATAATAAATGGGGTTTATTTTAATTTGCTTTATATGGATGATAGAGGCAGAAAAGTCACACTGTTATTAGCAGCAAAGTCACACTGTTTATTAGCAGCAAAGTCACACTGTTTATTAACAGAAAAGTCACACTGTTTATTAGCAGCAAAGTCACACTGTTTATTAACAGAAAAGTCACACTGTTATTAGCAGCAAAGTCACACTGTTTATTAACAGAAAAGTCACACTGTTGATTAGCAGCAAAGTCACACTGTTTATTAGCAGCAAAGTCACACTGTTTATTAACAGAAAAGTCACACTGTTTATTAGCAGCAAAGTCACACTGTTTATTAGCAGCAAAGTCACACTGTTTATTAACAGAAAAGTCACACTGTTATTAGCAGCAAAGTCACACTGTTTATTAGCAGAAAAGTCACACTGTTGATTAGCAGCAAAGTCACACTGTTTATTAGCAGCAAAGTCACACTGTTTATTAACAGAAAAGTCACACTGTTTATTAGCAGCAAAGTCACACTGTTTATTAACAGAAAAGTCACACTGTTTATTAGCAGCAAAGTCACACTGTTTATTAACAGAAAAGTCACACTGTTTATTAGCAGCAAAGTCACACTGTTATTAGCAGCAAAGTCACACTGTTTATTAACAGAAAAGTCACACTGTTTATTAGCAGCAAAGTCACACTGTTGATTAGCAGAAAAGTCACACTGTTTATTAGCAGAAAAGTCACACTGTTTATTAGCAGCAAAGTCACACTGTTTATTAACAGAAAAGTCACACTGTTATTAGCAGCAAAGTCACACTGTTTATTAGCAGAAAAGTCACACTGATTAGCAGCAAAGTCACATTATTAGCAGCAAAGTCACACTGTTTATTAACAGAAAAGTCACACTGTTTATTAGCAGCAAAGTCACACTGTTTATAACAGAAAAGTCACACTGTTATTAGCAGCAAAGTCACACTGTTTATTAGCAGAAAAGTCACACTGTTGATTAGCAGCAAAGTCACACTGTTTATTAGCAGCAAAGTCACACTGTTTATTAACAGAAAAGTCACACTGTTTATTAGCAGCAAAGTCACACTGTTTATTAACAGAAAAGTCACACTGTTTATTAGCAGCAAAGTCACACTGTTTATTAACAGAAAAGTCACACTGTTTATTAGCAGCAAAGTCACACTGTTATTAGCAGCAAAGTCACACTGTTTATTAACAGAAAAGTCACACTGTTTATTAGCAGCAAAGTCACACTGTTGATTAGCAGAAAAGTCACACTGTTTATTAGCAGAAAAGTCACACTGTTGATTAGCAGAAAAGTCACACTGTTGATTAGCAGCAAAGTCACACTGTTTATTAGCAGCAAAGTCACACTGTTTATTAGCAGAAAAGTCACACTGTTTATTAGCAGCAAAGTCACACTGTTTATTAGCTGAAAAGTCACATTGTTGATTAGCATTTAGAATCATAGTTTGCCTATCCAAACATAATAAATGAGAGGAGAAATATTCTGGCTTACTGTCACACTGGCTACGGCTTGTGGAGCCAGCCTTGCGTGTACTCTGGCCGGCTGGACAAGTTTCACAGGACTGTTGATTACTGAACTGCTGGTATGTCCCTTTGGAACAGATGATACAGTCGTCACCAGCGTCATTGGATTTGAACCCAGGGTCACATTTATCTGATCATGAGAAAATGGTTTTATATTAACATAAGTAAGATGTATGGTGTAGGAGTTACTATTAGGGACGCCTTCATTTGTCAACAGCTTGTTTCAAAACATCCAAAATGTATCATTATTGGGTATTGAGTATGATTCAGATTTTTCATTCAACATCATTTCGTAATCTTATTTAATGCATTGTAATACTATATATAGTAAACCACAGGTAAAAAAAATTTGGTGGAAAAGTTAATTAGTATGAAAGTGTTTTGTTTTTAGTTTTTTGTTTTGATATTTGATATTACTTAAAGAGGAATAAAGTCAAGAATTATAAAAAAATTATCAGATGAAAAAATACAAAGTGACATCACTTTATAAGGATGTTGGGAGTGGAGAGCTTCACTTTATCATGAGGGTGTGGGTTGGAGGACTTCACTTTATCAGGAGGGTTGGGGTGGAGGTCTTCAATTCACCATTATACACTGGGTTTGACCCCAAAAGAAACACTAGAAACTTCTGTTACACAGTATTTCACAGCTTTACTTAAATTTGGTAAATTAAATCATCTTAAATTCTGAAACAATAAGGGAACAAATTGATGGCAAGTTAGCGTAACAATACTTACAGAAGGTACAGTCTGACTCAGAGGTAGAGGCATTTCTTTGTGTGAATTTATTGTTGGGACAGGGCCTACAGGTACCATACACATCCAGGCTGTTATCTTTGTAGAAACCTTTAGGACAGGCTACACAGGTGTTGTTCTTCACCTCAAAACCACTCTCACAGAAAACTGAGTATCATAAAGTTAAAACAATAGTTAGTATATGCTATGAAATGTATCTATTGCTTAATCATTATGTACATAGGAACATTATGAAATAACAAAAACAAAACAATCTGCCAAATTATAGTCCCCACCAAATGTGAAATAATTTGAAAAAAACAAAAACCTTTTTCTTTGACAATGTTGTCAAACATCAAGATGTAGGTCAGAGTAATCTACTTTTGATACAAAACACATCACCTCACCAAGGTGAATCCATATTTACAGTATTAAGTTCCAGTGACAAGTAGTGTAGGAGATAAAGTCTGGAGAATTGTTTTTCTTTGCTGTAAGGTCTAAGGTAGATCACAGTGACCTACTTTTGATACATGACACACCATCCCACCAATGCCTTCACTCATTGGCTTCAAAATACGTTCATTAATAGATGTTGTGTTTGCCCCTGCTCTACCCCTCCAGAAAAAAAAATATGTTTCTGGCGGAAGGACAAATTTGGTTGAAATCTGTGCAGGCATGTTGGAAGAGAAGGATTTTACAAGCAAAATTTACAGCAGATGACACATGATGATGTACAAAACACAGTCACAGTGAGGGTCAGATAAACTATACATCAATTTACATCTGATATACGTTTCCATTGTGTTTCACTGACAGATCCTTTCTGACTTACATTTACACTGAGTTTGACTGACAGATCCTTTCTGACTTACATTTACACTGAGTTTGACTGACAGATCCTTTCTGACTTACATTTACACTGAGTTTGACTGACAGATCCTTTCTGACTTACATTTACACTGAGTTTGAATGACAGATCCATTCTGACTTACATTTACACTGAGTTTGACTGACAGATCCTTTCTGACTAACATTTACACTGAGTTTGACTGACAGATCCTTTCTGACTTACATTTACACTGAGTTTGACTGACAGATCTCTTCTGACTTACATTTACACTGAGTTTGACTGACAGATCCTTTCTGACTTACATTTACACTGAGTTTGACTGACAGATCCATTCTGACTTACATTTACACTGAGTTTGACTGACAGATCCATTCTGACTTACATTTACACTGAGTTTGACTGACAGATCCTTTCTGACTTACATTTACACTGAGATTGACTGACAGATCCATTCTGACTTACATTTACACTGAGTTTGACTGACAGATCCTTTCTGACTTACATTTACACTGAGTTTGACTGACATATCGATTCTGTCTTACATTAACACTGAGTTTGACTGACAGTTCCTTTTGACTAACATTTACACTGAGTTTGACTGACAGATCCATTCTGACTTACATTTACACTGAGTTTGACTGACAGATCCTTTCTGACTTACATTTACACTGAGTTTGACTGACAGATCCATTCTGACTTACATTTACACTGAGTTTGACTGACAGATCCTTTCTGACTTACATTTACACTGAGTTTGACTGACAGATCCTTTCTGACTTACATTTACACTGAGTTTGACTGACAGATCCATGCTGACTTACATTTACACTGAGTTTGACTGACAGATCCTTTCTGACTTACATTTACACTGAGTTTGACTGACAGATCCATTCTGACTTACATTTACACTGAGTTTGACTGACAGATCTCCATTCTGACTTACATTTACACTGAGTTTGACTGACAGATCCTTTCTGGTCAGTGCGGTAGCGTTCACCACCACAGGAGAGACAAGTTGTCTGCCACTTCTCTGGTTGGTAGGTCCCTACAGGACACTCCACACAACTTTGTGTTCCTACTCTTTTATATCCAGCATTACAAGCAACTGTTAATCAGAAAGCAATAAACACATCCTCAATCATCAACTGTGTTATAATGTATCTGTGGTAGTTATAATGGTCTTATTTCAAATTGCATCAGTTCCTATTATAAGTTCCTTTCCGCATTCAACTTCCACTAGACATTTGGCAATTTCAGAGGTCAAATCTGAAGGTCAAAAACATATGCGAGGTTAATATGTCCCTTCAAACCTGAAAATCAAAACTCAATTTTAGGAGTCAAAAACATACTCTGAAGGGTCTACTGAATGCCCTGAATCATTTATAGTCATATGTGTATGCCATCACTACTAATTTATGGGATTTAACAGAGGATTTTTAAAATTCATTAATGTATTCATGCTTGATGACTACTTCAATCAATTTTAAATAAAACCATATATTGTAACAAAACATTTGTCCACTGAAATAATGAAACTGTTGTACTATCTTTTAGTCCACAGGGAAACTTACTAAGGTTGCAATCAGCTGAAGAGGTGGACATGTTTCTCTCTGTTGTAAATCCAGATTGACAGAGAGTACACAGACTTTGCACTCCTTGGGTCCTATAGGAGCCTGTAGCACAGTCCACACAGCCGCCTGTAGGCAGCAGTTCCTTACCAGAGGGGCAGTCATCTACAACCAAACATGTAGGCTAAGTATATACAGCTATCTTATCTATTTTACTTCATTTTACACTGTAATGTGCTGAGTTTGTAAAGCTGAAGGTTTGTATCATGTCCATTTATCATGTACATCATAAAGTTGTATCACATCTAGTGGTTATATTGTAAAACTTGTTTTTTTCAAGGGGTGCTATTTTTCTAATCTTTTGGCTATTTTTTCACTTATTTCTGCTATTTTGGAGGATGCAATAATGTCATAAAAATTACCTTGGCAGCAAACATATAAAGATAAATACCTTGACAGTAAACATATAAAGATAAATACCTTGACAGTAAACATATAAAGATAAATACCTTGACAGTAAACATATAAAGATAAATACCTTGACAGTAAACTTATAAAGATAAATACCTTGACAGTAAACATATAAAGATAATTGCTGTTGACATTTAGGTTTATCCATGAAAGTTGAACCATTTATATTTACAAAATTACTCATGTACATTAGTTATAAAGTTATGTATTATTTCTTGAGTGAACACTTATCATTACCCTAAATGGTTGATGTACCACAGAATGTGAGAGGCAGCCCTAGGACTAGACAGGGATACTGCCTCAATATTACTGTTAAGATCCTTGCTAAGTGACATACCTTTACATGCTTCCATGGAAACAGAACCATTTTCTCTGGTGGTCTGTCCTGAGGCACAAGGCAGACAATGGAACTGTCCTGTTTGGTTTTGATAAAACCCAATGCTGCATACAATACATCCATTTTTATTTGTGTCAAAGTATTTACCAACTGGACAGCTTTCTGAAAGATAAGTTTCACATAATGAGGATATGTGATATTCACAATTCTCTATATATTGGTAGATACACTTCTGCCTGTGCAAAAAGTAAGATTTCATTAATCAATACCATTTTCTGCTTTGAAGAAGACAGACCACATCTACAGGTTTGATACATCAATAGCATAACTTGGACATAAGGGTCAAATTCATGTAAAATCACATCATTAACATTCACTGAAGAGATGATATTCAAGAAGCTATCTAAAAGTCTACCTTTTCATTGGAAACCTGACCTTTACACTGTTGTATGACTAAACTTTAGAACGTTGTTGGACTAAATTTTACACAGTTGTTTGACTAAACTTTAAACTGTTGTTGGACTAAACTTTAAACTGTTGTTGAACTAAACTTTAAATTGTAAACCTGACCTTTATACTGTTGTATGACTAACCTTAACACTGTTGTTTAAATAACCTTAACACTGTTGTATGACTAACCTTAACACTGTTGTATGACTAACCTTAACACTGTTGTATGACTAACCTTAACACTGTTGTATGACAAACCTTAACACCGTTATTTGACTAACCTTAACACTGTTGTTTGACTAACCTTAACACTGTTGTATGATTAACCTTAACACTGTTGTATGACTTACTTTAACACTGTTGTTTGACTAACCTTAACGCTGCTGTTTGACTAACCTTAACGCTGTTGTATGACTAACCTTAACACTGTTGTTTGACTAACCTTAACACTGTTGTTTGACTTACCTTAACACTGTTGTATGACTAACCTTAACACTGTTGTATGACTTACCTTAACACTGTTGTATGACTAACCTTAACACTGTTGTATGACTTACTTTAACACTGTTGTATGACTAACCTTAACACTGTTGTATGACTAACCTTAACACTGTTGTTTGACTAACCTTAACACTGTTATTTGACTAACCTTAACGCTGTTGTATGACTAACCTTAATGCTGCTGTTTGACTAACCTTAACACTGTTGTATGACTAACCTAAACACTGTTGTTTGACTAACCTTAACGCTGCTGTTTGACTAACCTTAACGCTGTTGTATGACTAACCTTAACGCTGTTGTATGACTAACCTTAACACTGTTGTTTGACTAACCTTAACGCTGCTGTTTGACTAACCTTAACGCTGTTGTATGACTAACCTTAACACTGTTGTTTGACTAACCTTAACACTGTTGTATGACTAACCTAAACACTGTTGTTTGACTAACCTTAACACTGTTGTTTGACTAACCTTAACACTGTTGTTTGACTAACCTTTACACTGTGTACCAGATGATGCCCCTGTTGACTTGGTGGATGTTCCATCAGGACATGGTTTACAGGACTGCTGACCAACCTCATCCTGGAACTCTCCAATGGAACAGTCCACACAGGTACTGGTGGCTGTATCAAAATAATTTCCAAGACCGCAGCCAACTATGAACAGAAAACAAACACTGATCAGCCACAGATGGCTATTTTCACTTAAGTAACTATATGAAGTAACTCCTTCTTATTTCAAAAAGCAATCTTCATATTATAAATAGCACTTGTTGTAACCTTACTTACAAACTATGTACATCTGTTTGTTGAAATTGGGTTTTAAACCCAAACAGTGTTTGCCAGTGTGTTGTGCATATGGACTTTGTGTGGCCTTATCTGCTGGGAAAAAAATCTAATTTCTACAAATATTTGAACTAATCAAGCCAAAATTAAGACTATGAAACTTTCTCAGACGAGATCATCTTGATTTATGCTCAAACTCAATAGTCATAACATTGGGTTACTTCCTAATATAATCCTGCACTAGTTTGTTTACAATAAGGAGTTACTTCCCCTTATGTCTTTCTTTAACAAAATTGTATATATATATATATATATATATGTCTGCTTGTTTGTTTACCACAGGTTGTCACCTGAAGGAGAGGACTTAAATAAGCAATGCCTGATGTACAATTCCTTTTGACATTTATCAATAAAATTTGTTGAAATTGAAATTGAAATCAGCCACAGTGAACTGTGGACAGATAACAACACTGATCTGTCACAGTGAACTGTGGACAGAAAATAACACTGATCAGCCACAGTGAACTGAGACAGAAAATTACACTGATCAGCCACAGTGAACTGTGGACAGAAAATAACACTGATCTGTCTGTGGACAGATAATAACACTGATCTGTCACAGTGAACTGGACAGATAATAACACTGATCTGTCACAGTGAACTGTGGACAGAAAATAACACTGATCTGTCACAGTGAACTGTGGACAGATAATAACACTGATCTGTCACAGTGAACTGTGGACAGAAAATAACACTGATCAGCCACAGTGAACTGTGGACAGAAAATAACACTGATCTGTCACAGTGAACTGTGGACAGAAAATAACACTGATCTGTCACAGTGAACTGTGGACAGAAAATAACACTGATCTGTCACAGTGAACTGTGGACAGAAAATAACACTGATCAGCCACGGTGAACTGAGACAGATAATAACACTGATCTGTCACAGTGAACTGTGGACAGAAAATAACACTGATCAGCCACAGTGAACTGTGGACAGAAAATAACACTGATCAGCCACAGTGAACTGTGGACAGAAAATAACACTGATCAGCCACAGTGAACTGTGGACAGAAAATAACACTGATCTGTCACAGTGAACTGTGGACAGAAAATAACACTGATCTGTCACAGTGAACTGTGGACAGAAAATAACACTGATCAGCCACAGTGAACTGTGGACAGAAAATAACACTGATCTGTCACAGTGAACTGTGGACAGAAAATAACACTGATCTGTCACAGTGAACTGAGACAGAAAATAACACTGATCAGCCACAGTGAACTGTGGACAGAAAATAACACTGATCTGTCACAGTGAACTGAGACAGAAAATAACACTGATCAGCCACAGTGAACTGTGGACAGATAATAACACTGATCTGTCACAGTGAACTGTGGACAGATAATAACACTGATCTGTCACAGTGAACTGTGGACAGAAAATAACACTGATCAGCCACAGTGAACTGTGGACAGAAAATAACACTGATCAGCCACAGTGAACTGTGGACAGAAAATAACACTGATCTGTCACAGTGAACTGTGGACAGAAAATAACACTGATCAGCCACAGTGAACTGTGGACAGAAAATAACACTGATCTGTCACAGTGAACTGTGGACAGAAAATAACACTGATCTGTCACAGTGAACTGTGGACAGATAATAACACTGATCTGTCACAGTGAACTGTGGACAGAAAATAACACTGATCAGCCACAGTGAACTGTGGACAGAAAATAACACTGATCTGTCACAGTGAACTGTGGACAGAAAATAACACTGATCTGTCACAGTGAACTGTGGACAGAAAATAACACTGATCAGCCACAGTGAACTGTGGACAGAAAATAACACTGATCAGCCACAGTGAACTGTGGACAGAAAATAACACTGATCAGCCACAGTGAACTGTGGACAGAAAATAACACTGATCAGCCACAGTGAACTGTGGACAGAAAATAACACTGATCAGCCACAGTGAACTGTGGACAGAAAATAACACTGATCAGTCACAGTGAACTGTGGACAGATAATAACACTGATCTGTCACAGTGAACTGTGGACAGATAATAACACTGATCAGCCACAGTGAACTGTGGACAGAAAATAACACTGATCTGTCACAGTGAACTGTGGACAGAAAATAACACTGATCTGTCACAGTGAACTGTGGACAGAAAATAACACTGATCAGCCACAGTGAACTGTGGACAGAAAATAACACTGATCAGCCACAGTGAACTGTGGACAGAAAATAACACTGATCAGTCACAGTGAACTGTGGACAGATAATAACACTGATCAGCCACAGTGAACTGTGGACAGAAAATAACACTGATCAGCCACAGTGAACTGTGGACAGAAAATAACACTGATCAGCCACAGTGAACTGTGGACAGAAAATAACACTGATCTGTCACAGTGAACTGTGGACAGATAATAACACTGATCAGCCACAGTGAACTGTGGACAGAAAATAACACTGATCTGTCACAGTGAACTGTGGACAGACAATAACACTGATCTGTCACAGTGAACTGTGGACAGAAAATAACACTGATCTGTCACAGTGAACTGTGGACAGATAATAACACTGATCAGCCACAGTGAACTGTGGACAGATAATAACACTGATCTGTCACAGTGAACTGTGGACAGATAATAACACTGATCAGCCACAGTGAACTGTGGACAGAAAACAACACTGATCTGTCACAGTGAACTGTGGACAGAAAATAACACTGATCAGCCACAGTGAACTGTGGACAGAAAATAACACTGATCTGTCACAGTGAACTGTGGACAGATAATAACACTGATCTGTCACAGTGAACTGTGGACAGAAAATAACACTGATCTGTCACAGTGAACTGTGGACAGACAATAACACTGATCAGCCACAGTGAACTGTGGACAGAAAATAACACTGATCTGTCACAGTGAACTGTGGACAGAAAATAACACTGATCTGTCACAGTGAACTGTGGACAGAAAATAACACTGATCAGCCACAGTGAACTGTGGACAGAAAATAACACTGATCTGTCACAGTGAACTGTGGACAGATAACAACACTGATCAGCCACAGTGAACTGTGGACAGATAATAACACTGATCTGTCACAGTGAACTGTGGACAGATAATAACACTGATCAGCCACAGTAAACTGTGGACAGATAATAACACTGATCTGTCACAGTGAACTGAGACAGAAAATTACACTGATCTGTCACAGTGAACTGTGGACAGAAAATAACACTGATCTGTCACAGTGAACTGTGGACAGAAAATAACACTGATCAGCCACAGTGAACTGTGGACAGAAAATAACACTGATCAGCCACAATGAACTGTGGACAGATAATAACACTGATCAGCCACAGTGAACTGTGGACAGAAAATAACACTGATCAGCCACAGTGAACTGTGGACAGAAAATAACACTGATCTGTCACAGTGAACTGTGGACAGAAAATAACACTGATCAGCCACAGTGAACTGACTTTGGACAATCAATGGACAGTTAACCATTGCATAATGAGCAGGTGAGTTAAATGATGCCTACAAAACTGTCATACATACTTCAACAGATAAAACAAACACTTTGGAGTTATCAGATTCTGCATGATTGTTGCATGTTCAGCTCTATTATTTCTGACCTATAAACCTACCACATTGGCCATTGATGATAGTATTGTTCCCAGCACATGTATCCTCCACACTCAAGGAAAATCCGTTAGGATCTAACTCCGCTCCTGGAATAAACGACTGAAACCAAAGACATTATGACTCAAAAAAGCAGTATGTAATTATCGCTATTTCAAGTTTTTGTGATTTCATGGCAATTAATGAATCAGCTCACTTCATGACAGATAATCAAAAAACAGATCTCAAGATTTTCTAACTAGCATTGTCGAAATAAGACAAGTATATCCCATCCCAACTCATACATTTATCCTCTTCCCCGCAGAAAGACCAACATATTTGATTTGGCAGGAGTTGTTTATATGTCTTTATTTCAATAATATTATGACAAAGAAGATGGTTTTTCTGATAAGCATACCCCAAAATCAAAATAGTCGGACTCCAAAACAAAGCTTGTTATAACATCATCAGCTGACATAACTTCAGATGTGTCTTTGTTTCTCCATTGGGCTCTACAAAGTAATCAACAAATTATAAGTAAGGAGGTGTCATCAAGTTGTACAATACATATCAGAGTGTCATACAGGTCAGCTCTACATTCTTATCATAAGTCATACCTGTAAGATTTTACAATTTATTTTGTCATATATTATACAAGAAAGCTACTACAATCAAGTTAGATAGGATATACATTTGTACAGGTAAAGTTCTACAATCTATAGCCTCAGACTAACCATACAGGTAAACTTCTACAATCTATAGCATCAGATCACCATACAGGTAAACTTCTACAATCTATAGCATCAGTCTACCATACAGGTAAACTTCTACAATCTATAGCATCAGACCAACCATACAGGTAAACTTCTACAATCTATAGCATCAGTCTACCATACAGGTAAACATCTACAATCTATAGCCTCAGACTAACCATACAGGTAAACTTCTACAATCTATAGCATCAGTCTACCATACATGTAAACTTCTACAATCTATAGCATCAGACCAACCATACAGGTAAACTTCTACAATCTATAGCATCAGTCTACCATACAGGTAAACATCTACAATCTATAGCCTCACACCAACCATACAGGTAAACTACTACAATCTATACCATCAGACCAACCATACAGGTAAACTACTACAATCTATACCATCAGACCAACCATACAGGTAAACTTCTACAATCTATAGCATCAGATCAACCATACAGGTAAAGTTCTACAATCTATAGCATCAGACCAACCATACAGGTAAACTTCTACAATCTATAGCATCAGTCTACCATACAGGTAAACTTCTACAATCTATAGCACCAGACCAACCATACAGGTAAACATCTACAATCTATAGCATCAGATCAACCATACAGGTAAACTTCTACAATCTAGAGCATCAGACCAACCATACAGGTAAACTTCTACAATCTATAGCATCAGACCAACCATACAGGTAAACTTCTACAATCTATAGCATCAGTCTACCATACAGGTAAACTTCTACAATCTATAGCACCAGACCAACCATACAGGTAAACATCTACAATCTATAGCATCAGATCAACCATACAGGTAAACTTCTACAATCTAGAGCATCAGACCAACCATACAGGTAAACTTCTACAATGTATAGCACCAGACCAACCATACAGGTAAACTTCTACAATCTATAGCACCAGACCAACCATACAGGTAAATATCTACAATCTATAGAATCAGACCAACCATACAGGTACACTTCTACAATCTAGAGCATCAGACCAACCATACAGGTAAACTTCTACAATCTATAGCACCAGACCAACCATACAGGTAAACTTCTACAATCTACAGCACCAGACCAAACATACAGGTAAACATCTACAATCTATAGCATCAGACCAACCATACAGGTAAACATCTACAATCTATAGCATCAGACCATTCATACAGGTAAACATCTACAATCTATAGTATCAGTCTACCATACATGTAAACTTCTACAATCTATAGCATCAGACCAACCATACAGGTAAACATCTACAATCTATAGCATCAGACCAACCATACAGGTAAACATCTACAATCTATAGCATCAGTCTACCATACATGTAAACTTCTACAATCTATAGCATCAGACCAACCATACAGGTAAACATCTACAATCTATAGCATCAGTCTACCATACATGTAAACGTCTACAATCTATAGCATCAGACCAACCATACAGGTAAACATCTACAATCTATAGCATCAGTCTACCATACATGTAAACGTCTACAATCTATAGCATCAGACCAACCATACAGGTACACTTCTACAATCTATAGCATCAGACCAACCATACAGGTACACTTCTACAATCTATAGCATCAGTCTACCATACAGGTAAACTTCTACAATCTATAGCATCAGACCAACCATACAGGTAAACTTCTACAATCTATAGCAACAGATCATCCATACAGGTAAACTTCTACAATCTATAGCATCAGTCTACCATACAGGTAAACTTCTACAATTTATAGCATCAGACCAACCATACAGGTACACTTCTACAATCTATAGCATCAGTCTACCATACAGGTAAACTTCTACAATCTATAGCAACAGACCATTCATACAGGTAAACTTCTACAATCTATAGCATCAGACCAACCATACAGGTACACTTCTACAATCTATAGCATCAGTCTACCATACAGGTAAACTTCTACAATCTATAGCAACAGACCATTCATACAGGTAAACTTCTACAATCTATAGCATCAGTCTACCATACAGGTAAACTTCTACAATTTATAGCATCAGACCAACCATACAGGTACACTTCTACAATCTATAGCATCAGTCTACCATACAGGTAAACTTCTACAATCTATAGCAACAGACCATTCATACAGGTAAACTTCTACAATCTATAGCATCAGTCTACCATACAGGTAAACTTCTACAATTTATAGCATCAGACCAACCATACATGTAAACATCGACAATCTATAGTATCAGACCAACCATACAGGTAAACGTCTACAATCTATAGCATCAGACCAACCATACAGGTAAACTTCTACAATCTATACCCTCAGATCACCATACAGGTAAACTTCTACAATCTATGGCATCAGATCACCATACAGGTAAACTTCTACAATCTATAGTATCAGATCACCATACAGGTAAACTTCTACAATCTATAGCATCAGATCACCATACAGGTAAACTTCTACAATCTATAGCCTCAGATCACCATACAGGTAAACTTCTACAATCTATAGTATCAGATCACCATACAGGTAAATTTCTACAATCTATTTCATCAGAAAATCTTACATATTATTCTGGTAATCTTCTGTAGTATATTTTGTCTGGTCATACTGGTAAACTTCTACAATCTATAGCATCAGATCACCATACAGGTAAACTTTTACAATCTATAGCATCAGATCACCATACAGGTAAACTTCTACAATCTATAGCCTCAGATCACCATACAGGTAAACTTTTACAATCTATAGCATCAGATCACCATACAGGTAAACTTCTACAATCTATAGCCTCAGATCACCTTACAGGTAAACTTCTACAATCTATAGCATCAGATCACCATACAGGTAAACTTCTACAATCTATTGCATCAGAAAGCCATACAGAAAAATCTCTACAGTTGATATTGTCTGGTCATACAAGTGAACTTCTATAATATATTGTGTCAGATGATCATAAAGGCGTATATATAAAACAATGCTTATGATGAATCTATCTCCAATAAATCAAGAAGAGTGATAACTCACTCAGCAGTAGGGATGTCGATTTTAACTTCGATCCCACTAATGGCTTGTTGAGTGAAGCCAGGAAATGCACAGGTGACAGTACTCGTAACATCAGCACATCCTAACTGGCTACACACATTTCCACTATAGGCAGTGTTGATCTGTTCAATGACCTCCATGGTTTTCTGGACAAGGGTGGTTTTGATACCATTACAATTGGCAGTTGTTATGGATGGGTAGGTCAATGTAATCTGTAATTTTTTCTTGGCAGGCTCCATGATTTCTATCAAAATAAAAACAAAGAATTCACACATACATACCCCTCACCTCCTGTTCTTTTTCTTTTAAATCTATCAAGGAATTAATGTTAAGGGATACATGATATATCTCATTTATAAGCTGTTTATTAATGAAGGGTAAACATCCATTTACATAACCTCTCACCTTAGTGGGGGTTTGAAAAAAATCATAGTATACATATCCTTGTGTCTAAGGGAGGCGAGATATTCCCGAGTATATGGGAGGTGAAATTTGTCTTGTGTTTATGGGAGGTGAGATATCCTTGTGTCTAAGGGAGGTGAGATATCCTTATGTCTATTGAAAGTGAAATATTTCCGAGTGTATGGGAGGTGAAATAGTCCTGTGTCTATGGGAGGTGAGATATTCTTATGTCTGTTGAAAGTGTAATATTCCCGAGTATATGGGAGGTGAAATAGTCTTGTGTCTATGGGGTGTGAGATATCCTTGTGTCTGTTGAAAGTGAAATATTCCTGAGTATATGGGAGGTGAAATAGTCTTGTGTCTATGGGGTGTGAGATATCCTTGTGTCTGTTGAAAGTGAAATATTCCCGAGTATATGGGAGGTGAAATAGTCTTGTGTCTATGGGGTGTGAGATATCCTTGTGTCTGTTGAAAGTGAAATATTTCTGAGTATATGGGAGGTGAAATAGTCTTGTGTCTATGGGAGGTGAGATATCCTTGTGTCTATTGAAAGTGAAATATTCCCGAGTATATAGGAGGTGAAATAGTCTTGTGTCTATGGGAGGTGAGATATCCTTGTGTCTGTTGAAAGTGAAATATTCCCGAGTATATGGGAGGTGAAATAGTCTTGTGTCTATGGGGTGTGAGATATCCTTGTGTCTGTTGAAAGTGAAATATTTCTGAGTATATGGGAGGTGAAATAGTCTTGTGTCTATGGGAGGTGAGATATCCTTGTGTCTATTGAAAGTGAAATATTCCCGAGTATATAGGAGGTGAAATAGTCTTGTGTCTATGGGAGGTGAGATATCCTTGTGTCTGTTGAAAGTGAAATATTCCCGAGTATATGGGAGGTGAAATAGTCTTGTGTCTATGGGAGGTGAGAAATCCTTGTGTCTATTGAAAGTGAAATATTCCCGAGTATGGGAGGTGAAATAGTCTTGTGTCTATGGGGTGTGAGATATCCTTGTGTCTGTTGAAAGTGAAATATTCCCGAGTATATGGGAGGTGAAATAGTCTTGTGTCTATGGGAGGTGAGATATCCTTGTGTCTGTTGAAAGTGAAATATTCCCGAGTATATGGGAGGTGAAATAGTCTTGTGTCTATGGGGTGTGAGATATCCTTGTGTCTATTGAAAGTAAAATATTCTTGAGTATATGGAAGGTGAAATTCCTGGTGTCTATGGGAAGTGAGAGGACCTTGTGTCTGTGAAAGGTAAAATGTCCTTGTCTATGAGAAGTGAGAGGACCTTCTGTCTGTGGGAGGTGAGATGTCCTTGTCTATGAGAAGTGAGAGGACCTTGTGTCTGTGGGAGGTGAGATGTCTTTGTCTATGAGAAGTGAGAGGACCTTGTGTCTGTGGGAGGTGAGATGTCCTTGTCTATGAGAAGTGAGAGGACATTGTGTCTGTGGGAGGTGAGATGTCCTTGTCTATGAGAAGTGAGAGGACATTGTGTCTGTGGGAGGTGAGATGTCCTTGTCTATGAGAAGTGAGAGGACCTTGTGTCTGTGGGAGGTGAGATGTCTTTGTCTATGAGAAGTGAGAGGACCTTGTGTCTGTGGGAGGTGAGATGTCTTTGTCTATGAGAAGTGAGAGGACCTTCTGTCTGTGGGAGGTGAGATGTCCTTGTTTATGGGAAGTGAGAGGACATTGTGTCTGTGGGAGGTGAGATGTCCTTGTCTATGAGAAGTGAGAGGACATTGTGTCTGTGGGAGGTGAGATGTCCTTGTCTATGAGAAGTGAGAGGACATTGTGTCTGTGGGAGGTGAGATGTCCTTGTCTATGAGAAGTGAGAGGACATTGTGTCTGTGGGAGATAAGATGTCCTTGTCTGTGGGAATTGTGATGTGAAGTCAGATGTTCCTGTATCTATAAGAGACGAGATAAACCTGTAAGATAACTATACTCACGTCCACAGGAGGGATATATAAGCTCCTGGTAGCGGTCAGCAGGGTTCCAGCTGCCCAGGAGTCCACAGGTGTAAAGGTTAGGGGTTTTTCTGTCTATTGTATGTGTGTCAACGTTGTCACAGCTAATGGTACAGCCGGTATAGGAATTGTATTTGTTGCCACAATTCTGATTTCCATTTAATGGATTGTTAGGTATCGAACAGTTGTCATCTGAAAAAGTCGTTTTTTCACCTAAAACTGTGCCCTTCTAGATCACTTAGTAAGTAAACAGACTTTATCCATACAGCTTCATTTTATTTTCTCTGATGCCTCACATGAGATATTATTAAAGAATTTCAGCCCTCAAATGACATTGACCGATACAACAGACAAGTAACAGATTCTATCGATCTGAATGTGTAATGTGGATTACACAAAAAACCTGACTACACTAAAATTAGAACAGATATTTATTCCACTGTGATTAACACACTGCAACATCTAAATGATAGTAGTCTTACTACTTACACTGAACATATATGTCAAAAGTACAGAAGGCAGCATTGTCCATCTCATCCCGTGCTTCGTATGTCACTGTGTATTTTCCCCATGGGAACGTCTCTCCTGACAAACACAAAATATATATGGTCATCAAATTACTGCCAAAGGAACATCTCTCCTGACAAATGCATTTGAGACTTATATGAAGGACCCATTCTTTTAACTGATTACTCATCAATCTTTTCAGGTTATACATCAATGTAGAGACAGAGAGAGACTAATATAATTGAAAATCATGGAAACTGTTACCATTTCTAAAGTTAGATTTGATTCCTCCAGTTGGTGCAGAGCCTATAAAGCTAGGCTCTGTCCAAGAAACAGCAGCAGGTTTGGGGTTGCTGTGTACGATGATGTCTCCTGGACAGTTCTGTGGTTCAGGTGGTGTCCTGTCTGCAAATGATAGTTTTCTATACTTAAATGGAAGACACTTTATCCTCAACAAGAGATCCCAATCATTGTTTGATCTTTATTTGCTCTTTGAAAGTTGATCTTTCCCCCTATTTTCTCTTATCTGCTTTTGCTCTTAATGATAAGACATTTGAAAATTCCTTTGCAAAAATAGCGATGATAATCTTTACCTGCCAAACCCAAAATGACTGCCTGGAAACCATTTTGTTTCTTCTGATCAGTCCCAATATCATATGAACACAATGAGAGACAAAAGGGAACATATGTATGAAATTTTAGAGCTATCCATTCAGTACTTCTTAAGCAATAACAATCTTTACTTGGCAAAATCCAAGATGGCTGCCTGTCAGCCATTTGTTTTTCTCATCAGTCCCAAAATCAAACAGGTACAAACAGGGACCTAAAGGAACCTATACATGAAATATGAGAAAGATCTAGAGAGATGTTCTTAAGAAATAGTGATGACAAACTTTCGAAGTAAAAATCTAAGACGGCCACTTTGTGGGCCATTTTCTTTCTTTCAGATCAGTACCAAAATCAAACAGACATAACTAGGGATCAAGGAGAGCATACACATGAAATTTGAGAAATATCTATGCTGTAGTTCTCAAGAAATAACAATAACAAACTTTCAAAGTCAAATCTAACATATTCATCTGTCGGCCATTTTGTATTTCTGACCCAAAATCGAATGGGCACCACTAGGGACTAAAGGGAACCTACATATGATATTCAAGAAAGATCCATCTCATACTTCTCAAGATATAGCAATAACAAACTTTCAAATTTTAAAAATGCTAAAAAAATGTTAAATCTGAAAAAGAAAACAGACTTCACTGAAAAGTATCTTCATTCTAAATTTGTCTTATTTCATTAGCATTCCATTTTAGAAATTTTTTGCATTAAGGATGTAATACATATTACTGATATTAGGTACCTTGATCAGTCATACAAAGGACATTGCCGTTACAACCTGCACGCGAAATGAAGGATGGCACAACAGTGCTGACACCTCGGTACAATATATACTCGTTCCATCCGAGTACAACATCACTAAAGCGAGTCTGAGGATTGGTTATGATGAGAGGTCCTTCTGTAGTAAAGCTCAGATTCCTGTTATACAAGTTGACTTGACTCAGACATCCATAAAAGCCCATACCTTCTACAGGTTCACTGGTGGATGTGTCTAACTTACCACCAAGTACAACCCAGACACTGCAACAATAGGAAAAGACAAATCTTATTCAATGATAGCATCATATATACATACAACATTTTCCTTTGACATTGCTGTGATACTTAATTTATCTTAAGATTGTTGACATGAAAGAAAATATGATAAGGGAGACAACTGACATTTTGTACTTATAATGATAAGTTGATACCAGATTATATCTGAATCAATATTCCAGAAAATGTTTATATAAGGGGAGATAACTACTAATACACTGTATTGATAATGTCTATACAGTGATAACTACTAATACCATGTAGTGATGTCTACAAAGGAGGAAATAACTACTAATACAGTACAAAAGATGTCAATATAAGGGAGGTAACTGCTGATACACTATACAAGATGATGTCTATATAGGGGATATCACTACAGATACACTATACAGATAATGTCCACACAAGGGAGACAATTATTGATAGACAGTACAGACGTCTTTTTAAGAGAGATATCTACTGACACAGTACACATAAAGATGTCTTTACTGGGAGTATAACAACTAATACATTGTACAGATAATACTTATATAGAAGTGATGACACCTCAGACAAAAAATGTCCATTCTATAAATGAGAGATAATGTATGATACACAGTTATAACTTACTTCATGTCAAGTGACTTTCCTGCATACACGTTGTTTGTTGTCTGGTGACGTATACTGTTAACAATAAGATCAAGTCCTCTTTCCTTGTGCCATGTCACTGACACCTGATGCCAATCCATGTTATTGATCTTCTCAAAAACAAAAGCGGTCATGGTTGGGGACTGTTCCTCTTCATAGATTGTCACTCCAACTTCATCCATCTCCAAGAATTTCTCAGGCTCACGTAAACTGTTTGCAGATCTAAAACACAAACACGATATATATATATATATATATATATACAATTCTAGTAATAATGCTACAATATTTCTAAGACTGATTTCAACTGTTTGCAGATCTAAAACATGAACACAATATATATTTAATTCTAGTAATAATGCTACAATATTTCTAAGACTGATTTCAACTGTTTGCAGATCTAAAACATGGACACAATATATATTTAATTCTAGTAATAATGCTACAATATTTCTAAGGCTGATTTCAACTGTTTGCAGATCTAAAACATGAACACAATATATATTTAATTCTAGTAATAATGCTACAATATTTCTAAGGCTGATACCATCTTACTGAGACACATTGTAGATTACTAGCAGTAATGTTACAGTATCTCTAGTTTTCATCATATATATATAATGTCTATTAGTTTTTGACATCCATCAAGAAGGGAGGCTTATATGTACAATGGTCCTGTGTCGCTGTGTACATGATACTTACGGCGTGGAGTACAATGTGAGGAAAGTGCCTGTGCCTTGGTCCTTGGAGAAGCGCACCCACAAGGTGAGTGAAAAAGAGTCTCCAATAAGCTTGATGGGGTAAGGCAGAGCTGCATAGCCAGTTTTGTCAGGTAAGTAGAAGCAAAGGTCGTAATCGGTGCTCAGGTCTGTATAATGAAAGCCAATTAATACTGTCACCAAATTGACATCTCAAATCAAACACAGAGTTCTGAAAGGACCAAAAAACTGTTTCTTCTACCTAAGATTTTATACAAGTTATTTCTATAGTTTACACAAGCTATTTCACCTTTGTAACTCTATTTCATCTCTCTATCTTTAATGCTTGTAAACTATGTAATGTTTTATTTACAAGCACAAAAGTCAGACATTCTAGGTTGACAGCTTGTTTGGGGTTTGAAGCTGTGTAGGAAATGTCTTGTTTGCTAAACTAAGCTCAACTAGCTTTTCTCTATATATTTGTGTGGAGACAAACGACAACAGCTCAGCTCATTTTTCTCTGTAAGTTCAAGTGTAAATGATGAGCAGACAACTCAGCTAGTTTTTTCTTTAAAGACTTGTTTGTGGACAAGGGACAGACAGCTCAGCTAGTTTTTCTCCATGAATCTGTGTGTGGACAAGGGACAGACAGCTCAGCCAGTTTTTCTCCATGAATCTGTGTGTGGACAAGGGACAAGACAGCTCAGCTAGTTTTTCTCCATGAATTTATGTATGGACAAGTGACAGACAGCTCAGCTAGCTTTTCTCTATGAATTTGTGTGGACAAGGGACAAATAGCTCAGCTAGTTTTTTCTCTGTGGTTTGTGTGGACAAGGGACAGACAGCTCAGCTAGTTTTTCTCCATGAATCTGTGTGTGGACAAGGGACAGACAGCTCAGCTAGTTTTATCTTTAAAGACTTGTTTGTGGACAAGGGACAGACAGTTCAGCTAGGTTTTCTCTATAATTTGTGTGTGGACGAGGGGCAGACAGCTCAAATAGTTTTTCTTTCTATCTTTTAATGCTGATGGAGTGGAAAAGTCAGCTATTCTTAATCTATAGTTGTGTTAGATATGTACCAAGTCCAGCTGCTTTATGCCGATAACTTTACCTTTACTACAGCTTTCTCCAGTTTTAAACAGAGGACATCGGCAGTGATGTTCCTGTACCATATCCACACAATTTGCAGTAACTGGACAGCTGTTCCCAATACAGTCGTTAGTGTTAATCTGGCAGTTCACACCTTCATATCCTGTAATATAGCAGACAGTAGTAAAGTCATAAATCAGCCAATGGTATCACAGATATCACATAATCAAAGCTATGGTGACATTTTCTCTATAACATATACATAAAAATAAAGCTTGGTTACAACCATCCATACTATCTATATAGAATTTCCTACATGTAGGTGTAGAGAATATGGATATTCTACCTGAGCATCAAAACTAAGGCTTTGCTGAGGGTTCTGAACCCAAATTCTTCACTCGAGGGCAGAATATCCTACATACCCACATATGGCCAACTATTACTCTCTCTCATCTCTGTCACAAATATTTGGTAAACACTACATTGATCAAGGTACTGCAGTGCTGAGTATAGCATAGTTTCTATGTAACATATTACATAATATAAACTAAAGCCAAATTTGAAAAGACCATAAAAAAGTATACACCAAATCTGAAATCAAGTTTTAAAGAAAATCATTTCAAATATGCACCAAAAAAAATTATGTGGTTCATGCAAAGTTGAGTCAGTTACTGATGGCAATTGCCATGAACAAGCAGGCAATGTTATGACATGCTTTCGATTGTAATGTCATAAGTAACATTGTCATCTCATTGTGGCATCATAATAGTAAAGGTCATTAATAGTGCATCAATGTGGGTTTAATAGAATGTTCCATCCCTATGGGCTCCAGATAGGTGGATCTCAACCTGAATGGAAAGATGATTAAGTTAGCAAACACAAGACTGAGTGAACTGAAATATCTTTTCCTGAGGAATAAGAATACCCAACTTGGCCAACATCGATGTGGCGGATTGTTTTTTTTCTTACTGGGTTTATCAGGTACTAGTATGTGATTTTATCATTCTATTGCTTTGCATCACTGACAGGATTTAATTGTCGACGTGATGTCAGTGAACTGTTACTGTGATGTTATATCATTGTCGTGTCAAGGGAATCCCCACATTTCAACCCTACAGTCAGACTAAAAATATTTGTGACCTGTACCTGGGTACCTCCATCGAGGGCTAAGATCCTGTAACATAGTCCCAACTGAGGTTAGGATGTTACAGGATCTTAGCCCAGGACTGAAATACCCGATCTTGATCAGTTACAGGTATTTTTTTTCTTGTTTTACACTGAAGATCTTATTTTATCTACAACATCAGGAAACTGAACAACATCAATTAAATACACAAAAAGGATGAATATAAAGCAGATAATTGAAAAGCGCAGGTGTAGGTGCCACCTTCGCCTACACATAGATGAATTACACCGATGCATAAAAAAATTCCACCAAAACGCACTTAATGTCACTAGACAGATTGGACAAGATCGAAAAATCTAGGATGGGGTATTACACAGGATATCCCTGTCTGAGGTGTGAGAAAAGGAAATCTTACACCAGCAAAAAGAGTAGATTTACCTGTGTGGGGAAAGAGATAGAGTTATGCTGCATGGGACATGTGTATCCCACATAAACAGAGGTGGGAGAAAAAGTGTAACATTAACCTTTGAACACCAAGATTATTTTGTGTTAGCTATCAGGATAGTCCTACCTGGTTGGCAGGTGCATCTGAAGCCAGGAGAAAGGTTCTCACATTTTCCACCATTCTTACACATGTCTGAATCCTTACAGTGATCAACAATGGATTCGCAACCTTCACCATCGTAGCCTACAAAAAGAATAATCAACATCATAATCTACAGAAATAATATCAACATCACAGTCTACAGAAATAATATCAACATCACAGTCTACAGAAATAATATCAACATCATAGTCTACAGAAATAATATCATCAACATCACAGTCTACAGAAATAATATCAACATCACAGTCTACAGAAATAATATCATCAACATCACAGTCTACAGAAATAATATCAACATCACAGTCTACAGAAATAATAACATCAACATCATAGTCTACAGAAAGAATATCAACATCACAGTCTACAGAAATAATAGCAACATCACAGTCTACAGAAATAATATCAACATCATAGTCTACAGAAAGAATATCAACATCACAGTCTACAGAAATAATATCAACATCACAGTCTACAGAAATAATATCAACATCATAGTCTACAGAAAGAATATCAACATCACAGTCTACAGAAAGAATAACATCAACATCACAGTCTACAGAAATAATAACATCAACATCACAGTCTACAGAAAGAATAACATCAACATCACAGTCTACAGAAAGAATATCAACATCACAGTCTACAGAAAGAATAATCAACATCACAGTCTACAGAAATAATATCAACATCACAGTCTACAGAAATAATATCAACATCACAGTCTACAGAAATAATAACATCAACATCACAGTCTACAGAAATAATATCAACATCACAGTCTACAGAAATAATATCAACATCATAGTTTACAGAAAGAATATCAACATCACAGTCTACAGAAATAATATCAACATCACAGTCTACAGAAATAATATCAACATCACAGTCTACAGAAATAATATCAACATCACAGTCTACAGAAATAATATCAACATCACAGTCTACAGAAATAATAACATCAACATCACAGTCTACAGAAATAATAACATCAACATCACAGTCTACAGAAATAATAATATCAACATCACAGTCTACAGAAATAATATCAACATCACAGTCTACAGAAAGAATAATATCAACATCACAGTCTACAGAAAGAATAATCAACATCACAGTCTACAGAAAGAATAATCAACATCACAGTCTACAGAAATAATATCAACATCACAGTCTACAGAAATAATATCAACATCACAGTCTACAGAAATAATAATCAACATCACAGTCTACAGAAATAATATCAACATCACAGTCTACAGAAAGAATAATCAACATCACAGTCTACAGAAATAATATCAACATCACAGTCTACAGAAATAATATCAACATCACAGTCTACAGAAATAATATCAACATCACAGTCTACAGAAAGAATAATCAACATCACAGTCTACAGAAATAATAACATCAACATCACAGTCTACAGAAATAATATCAACATCACAGTCTACAGAAAGAATAATATCAACATCACAGTCTACAGAAATAATAATCAACATCACAGTCTACAGAAATAATATCAACATCACAGTCTACAGAAAGAATAATATCAACATCACAGTCTACAGAAATAATAATCAACATCACAGTCTACAGAAATAATAGTCTACAGAAATCAACATCACAGTCTACAGAAATAATATCAACATCACAGTCTACAGAAAGAATAATATCAACATCACAGTCTACAGAAATAATAATCAACATCACAGTCTACAGAAATAATAATCAACATCACAGTCTACAGAAATAATATCAACATCATAGTCTACAGAAAGAATAATCAACATCATAGTCTACAGAAATAATATCAACATCACAGTCTACAGAAATAATATCATCAACATCACAGTCTACAGAAATAATATCAACATCACAGTCTACAGAAATAATATCATCAACATCACAGTCTACAGAAATAATAACATCAACATCACAGTCTACAGAAATAATATCAACATCACAGTCTACAGAAATAATATCATCAACATCACAGTCTACAGAAATAATATCAACATCACAGTCTACAGAAATAATATCAACATCACAGTCTACAGAAATAATATCAACATCACAGTCTACAGAAAGAATAATATCAACATCATAGTCTACAGAAATAATATCAACATCACAGTCTACAGAAATAATATCAACATCACAGTCTACAGAAATAATATCAACATCACAGTCTACAGAAATAATATCAACATCACAGTCTACAGAAATAATATCAACATCACAGTCTACAGAAATAATATCAACATCACAGTCTACAGAAATAATATCAACATCACAGTCTACAGAAAGAATAATATCAACATCATAGTCTACAGAAATAATATCAACATCACAGTCTACAGAAATAATATCAACATCACAGTCTACAGAAAGAATAATCAACATCACAGTCTACAGAAATAATATCAACATCACAGTCTACAGAAAGAATAATCAACATCACAGTCTACAGAAATAATATCAACATCACAGTCTACAGAAATAATATCAACATCACAGTCTACAGAAATAATAATATCAACATCACAGTCTACAAAAAAAAGAATAAAACATTATAATCTTAAGAATACAATCTGACAATGATTGTCAGTGTACAAAACCCATGTTACTTACTGGGAGGACAGATACAGTTAGCAGAAGATCCATTGACTTGACAAGTGCCATTGTTTAGACAGGGGTTGCTATCCTCACAAAGTTTTGGTCTATACTCACAGGTTTGTCCATATGTTCCCTCAGGACATCTGTTGTAAAGAGTAATTCTTTACAATTGATTTTACAATGTTTAAATACGACCTGACATTTGCTGTGAAACATTGGTTTGTGTTGATTGGTCTGATTCAGATATAATATGATGACAGACTGGGAATGTTTTTATATCACAACCAGAGGAGAAACAAAGCATAGTCAAACTGACTTTCATGGAGAGGTATATGGTTACCATCTAATTCATATGGAAAATCATTGCGATAGAAGTTTCTATGTCACAAGAAGATTTAAGGGTGAAGTTTCGAAGATGACCAGTGTAAAGGTACTGACATATGTAACTTTCATCAATTCCAATTTGAAATTAAGGAGCTGATATTCAATTTTCCTTTTTTCTAACATCTAAATCTTATGCAAAATGTCATATCCTCTAAAATAACTGATTTATATAGTATCATTTAAAAGGTGTAGGCCTCTCCAAACAAAAGGCACATAAGGCCTGCATCACTCAAATGTATGTTTCTTTAATTAACACACCTCTATTATAAAACAAAAAATGCAGAAGAATCATTTTAAAGTTTGTTTTTTTTTTTTTAAAAGTTACCCACTGCCCATTTTCACAAAATCCTATCATTCCAATCAGTTGTTTTAGGTTTCATTACAGAATTCAGATTGAAAAAAAAGCATTTCTCCATTAAAGTATATCATGTCATTTATATGTTCTTATTATATCCTGGAAACTTACGTGCAAAAGAAATTGTTGAAAAGTGGTGAACAGGATGCTCCGTTTTGACAAGGAGCATTATTGCATTGGTCTAAAATGATTTCACAACTCTTTCCGGTCCAGCCTGGTGGACAAGCACAACTGTAGTTATTTATAGCATCAGTGCAGTTTCCACCATGGCGACACGGGTGGCTGGCACAGTCATCAATGTCAGTCTACAAAAAATAGATTTTTTATTTGAAGTAAACAAATACTGAATGTTTCACAACTCTCTTTCTCTGGTCAGTTTCATGAATCTTCCTTCAGGAATTTTCCTCAACTTAATATTTCCCATAAAGCTAAAAATTAAGATCAGGAAAGTCCTTAGATCTAAGTTTTGCCTTAACTTACATAATGCTTTTCTATGCGAGTTAAGATGTAACTATGTAAAATTCACAAATTTGTGGCCTGTGTTGTAGAGAGAACTAGAATTTTATCAAGAACTGTCACATATAACACTGTAAATAATAATAGTGGTTTAAAATTTGTGTATTTCCTAAAACATAATCATGAAAATTTACATAAAGTACACAATGAAAGACTTAAAGTTGGCCACAATATGATCAGAAAAATTTAATCTAAAGACAAAACATGTTATCAAAGTAACTACTCAGTCTGGGTTTTTTTCCAGTGAGATTTTCTTACAGAGCAGTCTAACCAGTAAACACAGTGAAATGTACTTACAGAACAGCTTTAACCAGTAAACACAGTGAAATTTACTTACAGAACAGTTTAACCAGGAAATTTACTTACAGAACAGCTTTAACCAGTAAACACAATGAAATTTACTTACAGAACAGTTTTTACCAGTAAACACAGTGAAATTTACTTACAGAACAGTTTTTACCAGTAAACACAGTGAAATTTACTTACAGAACAGCTTTAACAGAACAGTTTAACCAGGAAATTTACTTACAGAACAGCTTTAACCAGTAAACACAATGAAATTTACTTACAGAACAGTTTAACCAGGAAATTTACTTACAGAACAGCTTTAACCAGTAAACACAGTGAAATTTACTTACAGAACAGCTTTAACCAGTAAACACAATGAAATTTACTTACAGAACAGTTTAACCAGGAAATTTACTTACAGAACAGCTTTAACCAGTAAACACAATGAAATTTACTTACAGAACAGTTTAACCAGGAAATTTACTTACAGAACAGCTTTAACCAGTAAACACAATGAAATTTACTTACAGAACAGTTTTTACCAGTAAACACAGTGAAATGTACTTACAGAACAGCTTTAACCAGTAAACACAATGAAATTTACTTACAGAACAGTTTTTACCAGTAAACCCAGCATCACAGGGACAAGTGTAGTCATTGATACCATCCTTACAGCCACTGAATTGTGTGCCTCTGTTATCACATGGGTTAGACAAACAGTCATTTATGTTGTTCTGGCATCTTGGACCTGTGGTTCAAAAAGTTACTGTAAGTATATTATAATTCAGTTTCAGATCTGTTTCTATGATTAATTAAACTTAATAAATAAAAAAAATAACTCCCCTGGTATCTTATACCTGTAAATTATATTAGTTTTCTCATAGATGTAGTCTATGTTAGCTTTAACTCATATGAATAATCATACAGATATCTATAACAATAAAACAAATATCTATAAAAAATCCCACAGAAATCCATCAATAATCCCACAGAAATCCATCAATAATCCCACAGAAATCCATCAATAATCCCACAGAAATCCATCAATAATCCCACAGAAATCCATCAATAATCCCACTAAAATCCATCAATAATCCCACTAAAATCTATCAATAATCCCACAGAAATCTATCAATAATCCCACAGAAATCCATCAATAATCCCACAGAAATCCATCAATAATCCCACTGAAATCCATCAATAATCCCACAGAAATCTATCAATAATCCCACAGAAATCCATCAATAATCCCACAGAAATCTATAAATAATCCCACAGAAATCCATCAATAATCCCACAGAAATCCATCAATAATCCCACTAAAATCTATCAATAATCCCACTAAAATCTATCAATAATCCCACTAAAATCTATCAATAATCCCACTAAAATCTATCAATAATCCCACTAAAATCTATCAATAATCCCACAGAAATCTATCAATAATCCCACAGAAATCCATCAATAATCCCACAGAAATCTATAATCCCACTTAAATCTATCAATAATCCCACTGAAATCTACCAATAATCCCACTGAAATCTATCAATAATCCCACTGAAATCCATCAATAATCCCACTAAAATCTATCAATAATCCCACTGAAATCCATCAATAATCCCACTAAAATCTATCAATAATCCCACTGAAATCCATCAGTAATCCCACTAAAATCTATCAATAATCCCACTGAAATCCATCAATAATCCCACTAAAATCTATCAATAATCCCACTCAAATCTATCAATAATCCCACTGAAATCCATCAATAATCCCACTAAAATCTATCAATAATCCCACTGAAATCTACCAATAATCCCACTGAAATCTATAAATAATCCCACTAAAATCTATCAATAATCCCACTGAAATCCATCAATAATCTCATTGACATCTATAAATAATCCCATTGAAATTCATCAATAATCCCACTGAAATCTACCAATAATCCCACTGAAATCTATCAATAATCCCACTGAAATCTATCAATAATCCCACTAAAATCAATCAATAATCCCACTGAAATCTATAGATAATCCCACTAAAATCTATCAATAATCCCACTGAAATCTATCAATAATCCCACAGAAATCTATCAATAATCCCACTGAAATCTATCAATAATCCCACTGAAATCTACCAATAATCCCACTGAAATCTATAAATAATCCCACTAAAATCTATCAATTATCCCACTAAAATCTATAGATAATCCCACTAAAATCAATCAATCATCCCACTGAAATCTATCAATAATCCCACTGAAATCTATTAATAATCCCACAGAAATCAATCAATAATCCCACTGAAATACATCAATTATCCCACTGAAATCTATCAATAATCTCACTGAAATCTATAAATAATCCCACAGAAATCCATCAATAATCCCACAGAAATCTATCAATAATCCCACTGAAATCTACAAATAATCCCACAGAAATCTATCAATAATCCCACAGAAATCTATCAATAATCCCACAGAAATCTATCAATAATCCCACAGAAATCAATCAATAATCCCACTGAAATACATCAATTATCCCACTGAAATCTATCAATAATCTCATTGAAATCTATAAATAATCCCACTGAAATTCATCAATAATCTCATTGAAATCTATTAAAAATCCCACTGAAATCTACCAATAATCCCACTTAAATCTATCAATAATCCCACTGATATCCATCAATAATCCCAATGAAATCTATCATTAATCCCACTGAAATCTACCAATAATCCCACTCAAATCTATCAATAATCCTAGAAATATATAAACAATCTCATTTATTTCTATTAATAAGACTACACATATCTGTAAATAATCCTTCTTATAACTATATATAGTAATCTTACAAATATCTTTCAATAACCCTCCAGAAATATACAAATAATCTCACTGATATCTATAAATTATCCAACTGATATCTATAAATTATCCAACTGATATCTATAAATTATCCAACTGATATCTATAAATTATCCAACTGATATCTATAATTAATCCCACTAATATCTATAAATTATCCAACTGATATCTATAAATTATCCAACTGATATCTATAAATTATCCAACTGATATCTATATAAATTATCCAACTGATATCTATAAATTATCCAACTGATATCTATCAATAATCCAACTGATATCTATTAATTATCCAACTGATATCTATAAATTATCCAACTGATATCTATAAATTATCCAACTGATATCTATAAATTATCCAACTGATATCTATAAATTATCCAACTGATATCTATAAATTATCCAACTGATATCTATAATTAATCCCACTAATATCTATAAATTATCCAACTGATATCTATAAATTATCCAACTGATATCTATAAATTATCCAACTGATATCTATAAATTATCCAACTGATATCTATAAATTATCCAACTGATATCTATCAATAATCCAACTGATATCTATTAATTATCCAACTGATATCTATAAATTATCCAACTGATATCTATAAATTATCCAACTGATATCTATAAATTATCCAACTTATATCTATAAATTATCCAACTGATATCTATCAATAATCCAACTGATATCTATAAATAATCCCACTAATATCTATAAATAATCCCACTGATATCTATAAATTATCCAACTGATATCTATAAATAATCCCACTAATATCTATAAATTATCCAACTGATATCTATAAATTATCCAACTGATATCTATAAATTATCCAACTGATATCTATAAATTATCCAACTGATATCTATATATCATTCTACTGATATCTATAAATAATCCCACTAATATCTATAAATTATCCAACTGATATCTATAAATCATTCTACTGATATCTATAATTAATCCCACTAATATCTATAAATTATCCAACTGATATCTATAAATTATCCAACTGATATCTATAAATTATCCAACTGATATCTATAAATTATCCAACTGATATCTATATATTATCCAACTGATATCTATCAATAATCCAACTGATATCTATTAATTATCCAACTGATATCTATAAATTATCCAACTGATATCTATAAATTATCCAACTGATATCTATAAATTATCCAACTGATATCTATCAATAATCCAACTGATATCTATAAATTATCCAACTGATATCTATAAATTATCCAACTGATATCTATAAATTATCCAACTGATATCTATCAATAATCCAACTGATATCTATTAATTATCCAACTGATATCTATAAATTATCCAACTGATATCTATAAATTATCCAACTGATATCTATAAATTATCCAACTGATATCTATTAATTATCCAACTGATATCTATAAATTATCCAACTGATATCTATAAATTATCCAACTGATATCTATAAATTATCCAACTGATATCTATCAATAATCCAACTGATATCTATAAATAATCCCACTGATATCTATAAATTATCCAACTGATATCTATAAATTATCCAACTGATATCTATAAATTATCCAACTGATATCTATAAATTATCCAACTGATATCTATAAATCATTCTACTGATATCTATAAATAATCCCACTAATATCTATAAATTATCCAACTGATATCTATAAATCATTCTACTGATATCTATAAATAATCCCACTAATATCTATAAATTATCCAACTGATATCTATAAATTATCCAACTGATATCTATAAATTATCCAACTGATATCTATAAATTATCCAACTGATATCTATAAATCATTCTACTGATATCTATAAATTATCCAACTGATATCTATCAATAATCCAACTGATATCTATAAATTATCCAACTGATATCTATAAATCATTCTACTGATATCTATCAATTATCCAACTGATATCTATAAATAATCCCACTAATATCTATAAATTATCCAACTGATATCTATAAATCATTCTACTGATATCTATAATTAATCCCACTAATATCTATAAATTATCCAACTGATATCTATAAATCATTCTACTGATATCTATAAATAATCCCACTAATATCTATAAATTATCCAACTGATATCTATAAATTATCCAACTGATATCTATAAATAATCCCACTAATATCTATAAATAATCCCACTAATATCTATAAATTATCCAACTGATATCTATAAATTATCCAACTGATATCTATAAATTATCCAACTGATATCTATAAATCATTCTACTGATATTATATTTTATGTTGATATCTATTAATAATCTGATCATTTCGCAGACATATTTCATGTTCAAAAATATTCTATCATAGATATATACTTGTATGAATTCAAAACGATAGAAGGATGTATGACAAAATCATGATTAATATCTTAATTGATAATGTGTTCCTTAATTTACTGTTAGAGATGGTGCATTTGAACAATTACCTTCAAAGCCTGATGTACAATTACATGTATATGCATCAATGCCATCTATACATGCACCACCGTTTACACACTGGTGGCCAACACAGTTGTCTTCATTATGTTGACACAAGGATCCTGAGAGGCCGCTCGGACAGATACATACAAATCCTCCCAAAGTGTTCTGGCATAGACTATTGAACATACAGGGACTGGACAAGCAGTAGTCTGCCTTCTTCTCACAGGTCTGTCCATGAAATACTATCAACAAATAAAGGTTGTAAACATTATACACATTCAGTTCTACATCATCTGTAGTCTAACGCCATGTTGTACAGGATAAGGATGAAATATCATACACATTCAGTTCTACATCATCTGTAGTCTAACACCATGTTGTAGAGGATAAGGATGAAATACCATACACATTCAGTTCTACATCATCTGTAGTCTAACACCATGTTGTAGAGGATAAGGATGAAATACCATACACATTCAGTTCTACATCATCTGTAGTCTAACACCATGTTGTAGAGGATAAGGATGAAATACCATACACATTCAGTTCTACATCATCTGTAGTCTAACACCATGTTGTACAGGATGAGGATGAAATATCATACACATTCAGTTCTACATCATCTGTAGTCTAACGTCATGTTGTAGAGGATAAGGATGAAATATTACACCTATTCAATTCTACATCATCTGTAGTCTAACGTCATGTTGTACAGGATAAGACTGAAATATTACACCTGTTCAATTCTACATCATCTGTAGTCTAACGTCATGTTGTACAGGATGAGGATGAAATACCATACACATTCAGTTCTACATCATCTGTAGTCTAACACCATGTTGTACAGGATGAGGATGAAATATCATACACATTCAATTCTACATCATCTGTAGTCTAACACCATGTTGTACAGGATAAGACTGAAATATTACACCTATTCAATTCTACATCATCTGTAGTCTAACGTCATGTTGTACAGGATAAGACTGAAATATTACACCTATTCAATTCTACATCATCTGTAGTCTAACGTCATGTTGTACAGGATAAGGATGAAATATCATACACATTCAGTTCTACATCATCTGTAGTCTAACGTCATGTTGTACAGGATAAGACTGAAATATTACACCTGTTCAATTCTACATCATCTGTAGTCTAACGTCATGTTGTACAGGATAAGACTGAAATATTACACCTATTCAATTCTACATCATCTGTAGTCTAACGTCATGTTGTACAGGATAAGACTGAAATATTACACCTATTCAATTCTACATCATCTGTAGTCTAACGTCATGTTGTACAGGATAAGACTGAAATATTACACCTGTTCAATTCTACATCATCTGTAGTCTAACGTCATGTTGTACAGGATAAGACTGAAATATTACACCTGTTCAATTCTACATCATCTGTAGTCTAACGTCATGTTGTACAGGATAAGACTGAAATATTACACCTATTCAATTCTACATCATCTGTAGTCTAACGTCATGTTGTACAGGATAAGACTGAAATATTACACCTGTTCAATTCTACATCATCTGTAGTCTAACGTCATGTTGTACAGGATAAGACTGAAATATTACACCTGTTCAATTCTACATCATCTGTAGTCTAACGTCATGTTGTACAGGATAAGACTGAAATATTACACCTATTCAATTCTACATCATCTGTAGTCTAACGTCATGTTGTACAGGATAAGGATGAAATATCATACACATTCAGTTCTACATCATCTGTAGTCTAACGTCATGTTGTACAGGATAAGACTGAAATATTACACCTGTTCAATTCTACATCATCTGTAGTCTAACGTCATGTTGTACAGGATAAGACTGAAATATTACACCTGTTCAATTCTACATCATCTGTAGTCTAACACCATGTTGTACAGGATAAGACTGAAATATTACACCTATTCAATTCTACATCATCTGTAGTCTAACGTCATGTTGTACAGGATAAGGATGAAATATCATACACATTCAGTTCTACATCATCTGTAGTCTAACGTCATGTTGTACAGGATAAGACTGAAATATTACACCTGTTCAATTCTACATCATCTGTAGTCTAACGTCATGTTGTACAGGATAAGACTGAAATATTACACCTATTCAATTCTACATCATCTGTAGTCTAACGTCATGTTGTACAGGATAAGGATGAAATATCATACACATTCAGTTCTACATCATCTGTAGTCTAACGTCATGTTGTACAGGATAAGACTGAAATATTACACCTGTTCAATTCTACATCATCTGTAGTCTAACGTCATGTTGTACAGGATAAGACTGAAATATTACACCTGTTCAATTCTACATCATCTGTAGTCTAACGTCATGTTGTACAGGATAAGACTGAAATATTACACCTATTCAATTCTACATCGTCTGTAGTCTAACGTCATGTTGTACAGGATAAGGATGAAATATTACATTCTATTCTTCATCTGTAGTTTCAGATAGACATTACTATCAGGTCATCAAATCTTCCATTTTTTTCTTTTTTTTTTCAATCCTTTATCTGAAATTGTAGCTTTTCTGTGACATTTGATCTGTAGAATGATATCAGTTAAATCTCTTCTAATGAATATTTCACAGTACATCCATCAACATGTGAATCAGAATCCAATAGCTACCATATAAACCTGACAAATCTTACCTTTATGAGCAGCACATTTGTAGCGAACCTCATAATCATTGCATGGATTGGCAGTCGAACCTTGACACTCCAAGCCCTCAACACCACACTGAAGCCCAAAGTTGTCACCAGTCTGAGTAGACAGAATGGTTGTTCCGTTCACACGACATTCTGCTTCGAGAGGTGTAGATTCAGCACATATTCTGACACCGTACTAAAACAAAGTGTTTATATTATGGTTTGAGGTGTGCAGTCATCACAACATATTACAACAATAGAGTCTTTTATCACTGATACACACACTGAACTTTTAAAAGGATACTCACCATCGCCAACTCACTGAGCCGTTCATTGTCATTGCCTCCATTCGGATCATTTAAATCAAACCAGGGAGTATAGAAATCGTCTGCAAAGATCAAAACATCAGAGTTAGAATATCTGCCAGAGGGTGTAACAACTTCCCTGCACTCTACCCTAAATGTCCTAATCCCAAAACACACATTACACAATATACATTACTGTCAATAATTTAGATTTTGTGAATACAAGATTTCACAAACACTGATCAATGAGTTTAAATTTGCCAATGATGAGCTACTAGAGATATGGACTCTGGAATGCACCTATATCAGCAACCAAAAGCTTCACATTGGTTTGTTTATGAAAGTCATGTGATACATGTTGCGTCCATACTAAATTGTATTTATTTAAGTACAGGCTAGTACGTCGACAAAAACAAAACAAAAAAACGAAAAGAACACACCCTATCATTAATGTTAGGAGAGTGAAGTGAGTTGTTTTCACGATAATAAGACAGGACTAGATGTATTGTGCAGTGTTTAACATTATGCTTCATACTAATTATACAGTAGCTGTCCCAGCAGTAAAGTCAACTTTTCCTCTTGTTTATTTTTTAGTATTATGAAATAATATTTTACATGTGATAAACTCTGTTATTGTAAATATTTTAGCACCTTTCCAAAACAAAAAAAGCATTGGAGATTTACATCTATTGTTGCAGACATGTTTGACCTCTGACCTCTGATCTGTAGCTGCACATTTGAATAACACCATTTTGTGAAGTTCTACAGTCAGCAATACAGAAATGTTGTTTAAAAGTACAGAATTTTAATGATTTCTGAATATGAAAGGTATACATGTCTAGCAGATTTCTTTGTGATATTACGATGAGGTATATATAAATTCACCAGAAGAGCAAACGAAAGTAAAGGCAAATTAACAACAGAATAACAAGGATGTCATTCAGAGATTTGTACAAATAATTGCGAGAGATTTGAATTTGCAATTGGTTCTCATACATTATTGAAAAAATAAATACCACACAAATGATCTACAGTACTATATCAATGTAGTTATTAAACTGTACACAATATAATAAAAAAAACCATCCAAATTGTCAAAGTGTTCAGGTATTAAATTATAAATGGCAATAACTTCATACCGTCAGGTCGTTGACAGGTCTTGGTGAAGAAAAGGAAATCTTGCTTTGTCTGGAGACCGAAATCAGGGGTTTGAAAGTATACAAAACACTGATGGTTTCCTGTCGAATTGTCATAGCCCACTGCCACACACGACCCTTTATTAATACAAAGGTCCTGACACGACTGTATAGAGGGTTCTACACTGATCTCCCCTGCTCCTATATTAATAGGACTTTTATCCTTGTACACTTGGAAATGGCAAATTTCACCTAGAAATATACAAATCACATATATAGATCAGATCATACACCGTCAGTACTTAACTAAAGGGAGAGAAAATGATAAATATGAGCATAAAGTTATGTCTTATCAAAAGTAGGAAAAATGGCACTCCCTAACATTATTATAAAGTAGATTTGTTGTATGACCCTCCACTCCGCCAATACCCTACCAATTATCAACATGAATTAACTTCATCCTAATGTAGGTGTATCCCAATATAGACATGACATGACAAAAAAATGTCCTACTATTGACATATCCTGATTATCATCAATGTCCAACCAAAGACACATCCCTGACCATTACAAATGTCCTATAAAAGACTTATCACTGACCGACCATAGATAAATCTCTGGTCTATCATATATGTGTTTCTGAACTACCATAGCTGTATTTCTGATCTATCCTAGGCAAATCTCTGACCTACCATAGATGTATTTCTGAACTACCATAGATGTATTTCTGACCTACCATAGATGTATTTCTTATCTATCCTAGGCATATCTCTGACCTACCATAGATGTATTTCTGACCTACCATAGATGTATTTCTGACCTATCCTAGGCATATCTCTGACCCACCATAGCTGTATTTCTGATCTGTCCTAGGCATATCTCTGACCTACCAGACATATTTCTGACCTACCATAGCTGTATTTCTGATCTATCCTAGGCAAAACTCTGACCTACCATAGATGTATTTCTGACCTACCATAGATGTATTTCTGATCTATCCTAGGAATATCTCTGACCTACCGCAGATGTATTTCTGATCTATCCTAGGCATATCTCTGACCTACCATAGATGTATTTCTTATCTATCCTAGGCATATCTCTGACCTACCATAGATGTATTTTTGATCTATCCTAGGCAAAACCTTGACCTACCATAGATGTATTTCTGAACTACCATAGATGTATTTCTGACCTACCATAGCTGTATTTCTGATCTGTCCTAGGCATATCTCTTACCATAGCTGTATTTCTGATCTATCCTAGGCAAAACTCTGACCTACCATAGATGTATTTCTGACCTACCATAGATGTATTTCTGATCTATCCTAGGAATATCTCTGACCTACCGCAGATGTATTTCTGATCTATCCTAGGAATATCTCTGACCTACCGCAGATGTATTTCTGATCTATCCTAGGCATATCTCTGACCTACCATAGATGTATTTCTTATCTATCCTAGGCATATCTCTGACCTACCATAGATGTATTTTTGATCTATCCTAGGCAAAACCTTGACCTACCATAGATGTATTTCTGAACTACCATAGATGTATTTCTGACCTACCATAGATGTATTTCTTATCTATCCTAGGCATATCTCTGACCTACCATAGATGTATTTCTGAACTACCATAGATGTATTTCTGACCTACCATAGATGTATTTCTGACCAACCATAGATGCATCTCTGACTATCATAGCTGTATTTCTGATTTATCCTACTCAAATCTCTGACCTACCATAGATGTATTTCTGAACTACCACAGATGTATTTCTGATCTATCCTTGGCAAATCTCTGACCTACCATAGATGTATTTCTGACCTACCATAGATGTATCTCTGACTATCATAGCTGTATTTCTGATCTATCCTACACAAATCTCTGACCTACCATAGATGTATTTCTGACCTATCATAGATGTATCTCTGACCTATCATAGATGTATCTCTGACCTACCATAGCTGTATTTCTGATCTATCCTCGGCAAATCTCTGACCTACCATAGATGTATCTCTGACCTACCATAGCTGTATTTCTGATCTGTCCTAGGCATATCTCTGACCTACCAGACATATCTCTGACCTACCATAGATGTATTTCTGACCTATCCTAGGCATATCTCTGACCCACCATAGCTGTATTTCTGATCTATCCTAGGCATATCTCTGACCTACCATAGTTGTATTTCTGACCTACCATAGCTGTATTTCTTATCTATCCTAGGCATATCTCTGACCCACCATAGCTGTATTTCTGATCTATCCTTGGCATATCTCTGACCTACCATAGTTGTATTTCTGACCTACCATAGCTGTATTTCTTATCTATCCTTGGCATATCTCTGACCTACCATAGTTGTATTTCTGACCTACCATAGCTGTATTTCTTATCTATCCTTGGCATATCTCTGACCTACCATAGTTGTATTTCTGACCTACCATAGCTGTATTTCTGATCTATCCTTGGCATATCTCTGACCTACCATAGTTGTATTTCTGACCTACCATAGCTGTATTTCTTATCTATCCTAGGCATATCTCTGACCTACCAGACATATCTCTGACCTACCATAGATGTATTTCTGACCTACCATAGCTGTATTTCTGATCTATCCTTGGCATATCTCTGACCTACCATAGTTGTATTTCTGACCTACCATAGCTGTATTTCTTATCTATCCTAGGCATATCTCTGACCTACCATAGTTGTATTTCTGACCTACCATAGCTGTATTTCTTATCTATCCTAGGCATATCTCTGACCTACAATTGCCATATTTATGACCCACAATTACTAATTTTTCTGATCTACATGACTTATGTCTCTGATAATGTATCTCTGACCCTCTATAGAAGTATTTTTGACCTACTATAACCATATCTATGACCTACCATAAGCGTATCCCTCACTACAGACACAAATGTAAGTGTTCCTAGTGTAGTCAGGAACACACATTCCTCCTGTGCCACATGGCACGCTATTACACACGTCTTGTCGTTCTTCACATCTTGACCCAAAGAAATTATGATCACATCTACACTGGTAACCATTGACCAACTTAGAACACGTTCCTTCATTTAGACAGGGGTTGGAAGCACAGTAATCTGGAAAAAAACCCAGAACAATATCTTATCATATAACAACAGTGTATATATATATATATAAATATAGAGCTTATATATAGAGGTCTTGGTTTGCTGTACTTTATTGCGGTACAGATCATGTGGCTATAGATATTTACCTATATTGATATCACAAATGTCTGACAAGGTGCAGTCCGTGTGACAGTAGATACTTACCTAAATGATATCACTCTTGTCCAACAATTCACAGTCAAGCTGACTATAGATATTTACCTATATTGATATCACACCTGAACCTGGTAACGCACGTCTAACAGCAGATATTTACCTGTATTATATCACAACTGTCCCTGGTAAAGCACGGTTAACAGTAGATATTTACCTATATTGATATCACACCTGTACCTAGTAACGCATGTCTAACAGCAGATATTTACCTATATTGATATCACACCTGAACCTGGTAAAGCACGTCTAACAGCAGATATTTACCTATATTGATATCACAGCTGTCCCTGGTAAAGCACGTCTAACAGCAGATATTTACCTATATTGATATCACACCTGTACCTGGTAACGCATGTCTAACAGTAGATATTTACCTATATTGATATCACACCTGTACCTGGTAAAGCACGTTTAACGACAGATATTTACCTATGTTGATATCACACCTGAACCTGGTAATGCATGTCTAACAGCAGATATTTACCTATATTGATATCACACCTGTACCTGGTAAAGCACGTCTAACGACAGATATTTACCTATATTGATATCACACCTGAACCTGGTAATGCACGTCTAACAGCAGATATTTACCTATATTATATCACACCTGTCTGACAATGCACAGCCAACCTGACTGTAGATATTTACCTATTTCGTTATCACAGCGGTCCCCGGTAAAGCCTATCTTACAAAAACATTTTCTGCGTACATTTTCATACGTTGTACAATTAGCAGCTCCCAGCCCACAGGAATCAGTGGCACATAAATCCTGCTGGTTATCACAACTGAAAAAATAGTCATGAAATTAATTCCATGTTCTTTAAGAATAAATTAATTCATACAAAATCAAACAGAAACAGGTGAAACTATCATCAATATGACTTTATACCTTTCAATAAATTATTGACATAATATCATACTGAAAATCAATGGTAACTGATTAAAAGACCACAAGCTGAATTGCTAATTGATCACGTAAAGGTTATTTAAAGTCATCTTAACAACTTAAACCTTATGTTATTGTTTAGCCAATCGCAAGACATCTCTTTGCATGAAATCATCCATGAATGAGGACTGATGTCCACACCAATCATCGAGGAATCAACATGTCCACCCCAATCATTGAGGAATCAACATGTCCACACCAATCATTGAGGAATCAACATGTCCATCCCAATCATCAAGCAATCAACATGTCCACCCCAATAATCAAGGTATCAACATGTCCACCCCAATCATCTTGGAATCAACATGTCCACACCAATCATCAAGCAATCAACATGTCCACCCCAATCATCGAGGAATCAACATGTCCACCCCAATCATCGAGGAATCAACATGTCCACCCCAATCATCGAGGAATCAACATGTCCACCCCATTCATCGACGAATCAACATGTCCACACCAATCATCGACGAATCAACATGTCCACCCCAATCATCGAGGTATCGACATGTCCACCCCAATCATCGAGGAATCAACATGACCACCCCAATCTTCGAGGAATCAACATGTCCACCCCAATCAACGAGGAATCAACATGTCAAAATGTCCACCCCAATCATCGAGGAATCAACATGTCCTCCCCAATCATCGAGGAATCAACATGTCCACCCCAATCATCCAGGAATCAACATGTCTTCCCCAATCATCGAGGAATCAACATGTCCACCCTAATCATCGAGGTATCAACATGTCCACACCAATCATCGAGGAATCAACATGTCCACACCAATCATCGAGGTATCAACATGTCCACCCCAATCATCCAGGAATCAACATGTCCACCCCAATCATCGAGGAATCAACATGTCCACACCAATCATCAAGGTATCAACATGTCCGTCCTAATCTTCGAGGAATCAACATGTCCACCCCAATCATCCAGGAATCAACATGCCCACACCAATCATCGGGGAATCAACATGTCCACCCCAATCATCGAGTAATCAACATGTCCACACCAATCATCGAGGAATCAACATATCCACCCCAATCATCGAGGTATCAACATGTCCACACCAATCATCCAGGAATCAACATGTCTTCCCCAATCATCGAGGAATCAACATGTCCACCCCAATCATCGAGGAATCAACATGTCCACCCCAATCATCGAGGAATCAACATGTCCACCCCAATCAACGAGGAATCAACATGTCAAAATGTCCACCCCAATCATCAAGGTATCAACATGTCTTCCCCAATCATCGAGGAATCAACATGTCCACCCCAATCATCCAGGAATCAACATATCCACCCCAATCATCCAGGAATCAACATGCCCACACCAATCATCCAGGAATCAACATGCCCACACCAATCATCGGGGAATCAACATGTCCACCCCAATCATCGAGTAATCAACATGTCCACCCCAATCAACGAGGAATCAACATGTCAAAATGTCCACCCCAATCATCAAGGTATCAACATGTCCTCCCCAATCATCGAGCAATCAACATGTCCACCCCAATCATCCAGGAATCAACATGTCTTCCCCAATCATCGAGGAATCAACATGTCCACCCTAATCATCGAGGTATCAACATGTCCACACCAATCATCGAGGAATCAACATGTCCACACAAATCATCGAGGTATCAACATGTCCACCCCAATCATCCAGGAATCAACATGTCCACCCCAATCATCGAGGAATCAACATGTCCACACCAATCATCAAGGTATCAACATGTCCGTCCTAATCTTCGAGGAATCAACATGTCCACCCCAATCATCCAGGAATCAACATGCCCACACCAATCATCGGGGAATCAACATGTCCACCCCAATCATCGAGTAATCAACATGTCCACACCAATCATCGAGGAATCAACATATCCACCCCAATCATCGAGGTATCAACATGTCCACACCAATCATCCAGGAATCAACATGTCTTCCCCAATCATCGAGGAATCAACATGTCCACCCCAATCATCGAGGAATCAACATGTCCACCCCAATCATCGAGGAATCAACATGTCCACCCCAATCAACGAGGAATCAACATGTCAAAATGTCCACCCCAATCATCAAGGTATCAACATGTCTTCCCCAATCATCGAGGAATCAACATGTCCACCCCAATCATCCAGGAATCAACATATCCACCCCAATCATCCAGGAATCAACATGCCCACACCAATCATCCAGGAATCAACATGCCCACACCAATCATCGAGGAATCAACATGTCCACCCCAATCATCGAGTAATCAACATGTCCATCCCAATCATCCAGGAATCAACATGTCCACCCCAATCATCGAGGAATCAACATGTCCACCCCAATCATCGAGTAATCAACATGTCCACCCCAATCATCGAGGAATCAACATGTCCACCCCAATCATCGAGTAATCAACATGTCCATCCCAATCATCGAGGAATCAACATGTCCACCCCAATCATCGAGGAATCAACATGTCTTCCCCAATCATCAAGGAAACTACATATCCACTCAAACTACATTCATTACTTTTTGCCAGAAAATCCTGTGGAACAGACGCATTCATAGCCGTTCAATAGATTTTTACATTTGCCGCCATTTTGACAAGGGTTGGTGTCACATTCTGTAGGCAAGTCAATTTCACAATTGTCTCCACTGGACCCTACAACAGACATATATTCATAGGACTGAAAACCCTAAAATAGACATATTTTGAGGTAATACAACCCTACAGTAGACATATATTTATAGGTCTGACAACCTTACCATAGACATATATTTATTGGTCAGACAACCTTACAATAGAAATATATTTACAGACATCAGACAACCCTACAATAGACATATATTTATAGGTCAGATAACACTCCAATAGACATACATTTATAGGTCTGACACCCTACAATAGACATATATTTATAGGTCAGGCAACCGTACAATAGACATACATTTACAGAAATCAGACAACCCTACAATAGACATATATTGATAAGTATTACAACCCTGCAATAGACATATATTTACAGAAATCAGACAACCCTACAATAGACATCTATTTACAGAAATCAGACAACCCTACAACAGACACATATTGAATGAAATCAGACAACCCTACAACAGACACATATTTACTGAAATCAGACAACCCTACAACAGACACATATTTACAGAAATCAGACAACCCTACAACAGACACATATTGAATGAAATCAGACAACCCTACAACAGACATATATTTACAGAAATCAGACAACCCTACAACAGACACATATTGACTGAAATCAGACAACCCTACAACAGACACATATTTACAGAAATCAGACAACCCTACAACAGACACATATTGAATGAAATCAGACAACCCTACAACAGACACATATTTACTGAAATCAGACAACCCTACAACAGACACATATTGAATGAAATCAGACAACCCTACAACAGACACATATTTACAGAAATCAGACAACCCTACAACAGACACATATTGAATGAAATCAGACAACCCTACAACAGACACATATTTACAGAAATCAGACAACCCTACAACAGACACATATTGACTGAAATCAGACAACCCTACAACAGACACATATTTACAGAAATCAGACAACCCTACAACAGACACATATTGACTGAAATCAGACAACCCTACAACAGACATATATGTACAGAAATCAGACAACCCTACAACAGACACATATTGACTGAAATCAGACAATCCTACAACAGACACATATTGACTGAAATCAGACAACCCTACAACAGACATATATGTACAGAAATCAGACAACCCTACAACAGACACATATTGACTGAAATCAGACAACCCTACAACAGACATATATGTACAGAAATCAGACAACCCTACAACAGACACATATTGACTGAAATCAGACAATCCTACAACAGACACATATTGAATGAAATCAGACAACCCTACAACAGACACATATTGAATGAAATCAGACAACCCTACAACAGACACATATTTACAGAAATCAGACAATCCTACAACAGACACATATTGAATGAAATCAGACAACCCTACAACAGACACATATTTACAGAAATCAGACAACCCTACAACAGACACATATTTACAGAAATCAGACAACCCTACAACAGACACATATTTACAGAAATCAGACAACCCTACAACAGACACATATTTACAGAAATCAGACAACCCTACAACAGACACATATTTACAGAAATCATAGCCTTATAAAGAACGACCATGCTTTAATCATTGAGCACTATTTTGTTTTTCTTTTCTCACTACTTGTTTTTTTTCACTTCTGATTTTTGGTCAATTTTTTTTACACAGTTGATTTTAAGTACACCAGAGACCAGCTGAAGATATCACTTGTTAAAGTGTCTGTATATCAGAAAGAGCTCTTCAACTAGGAATGTTTTATTATGAGATCTGATGTTTTGAAGTCATACAACCATCTGTTGGTCCTTTAAGTTTGTTATCATTGTGGTTTGTACTTTACCTGGGACACAGTTGCATTTGTATGAGTTATTCTCTTCGTCCTCAATACAAGTAGAATCATGGTAGCAGGGTGAAGACAAGCAATGCCGTACCCTGGAGTCACAGGTAACGCCATAGTAACCTGTAAACAACAAAAACTGCGATACAAATCATACAATGTGATCTTACCAAACACAGTTATAATTAGTTTTACTAACGTGTGTTATATATCAAAGGATGAAGCCAATTGAATCATGAGAAAGGTCTAGACCAATTCTAAACAAAAGAATTACAGGTAAATTTGTGTCTCTCACGTACCCGCTTCTCCATATCTTCAGGATTTAGACAAGAATTACATGTAATTATGTGTGTCTCATGTACCCACCTCTCCATATCTTAATGGATTAGACAAGAATTACATGTAATTATGTGTCTCATGTACCTACTTCTCCATATCTTCAGGATTAGACAGGAATTACATGTAATTATGTGTGTCTAATGTACCTACTTCTCCATATCAATGGATTAGACAGGAATTACATGTAATTATGTGTGTCTCATGTACCCACTTCTCCATATCTTCAGGATTTAGACAAGAATTACATGTAATTATGTGTGACTCATGTACCCACTTCTCCACATCTTAATGGATTAGACAAGAATTACATGTAATTATGTGTGTCTCATGTACCCACCTCTCCATATCTTAATGGATTAGACAAGAATTACATGTAATTATGTGTCTCATGTACCTACTTCTCCATATCTTCAGGATTAGACAGGAATTACATGTAATTATGTGTGTCTCATGTACCCACCCACTTCTCCATATCTTAATGGATTAGACAAGAATTACATGTAATTATGTGTGTCTCAGGTACCCACTTCTCCATATCTTAATGGATTAGACAAGAATTACATGTAATTATGTGTGTCTCATGTACCCACTTCTCCATATCTTCAGGATTTGACAAGAATTACATGTAATTATGTGTCTCACGTACCCACTTCTCCATATCTTAATGGATTAGACAAGAATTACATGTAATTATGTGTGTGTCACTTCTCATGTACCCACTTCTCCATATCTTAATGTTTTAGACAAGAATTACATGTAATTATGTGTGTCTCATGTACCCACTTCTCCATATCTTCAGGATTAGACAAGATATCTTAATGGATTAGACAAGAATTACATGTAATTATGTCAGACAAGAATTACATGTCTCATGTACCCACTTCTCCACATCTTAATGGATTAGACAAGAATTACATGTAATTATGTGTGTCTCATGTACCCACTTCTCCATATCTTCAGGATTTAGACAAGAATTACATGTAATTATGTGTCTCATGTACCCACTTCTCCATATCTTAATGGATTAGACAGGAATTACATGTAATTATGTGTGTCTCATGTACCTACTTCTCCATATCTTAATGGATTAGACAAGAATTACATGTAATTATGTGTGTTTCATGTACCCATTTCTCCATATCTTAAGGATTTTGACAGGAATTACATGTAATTATGTGTGTCTCACGAACCCACTTCTCCATATCTTAATGGATTAGACAAGAATTACATGTAATTATGTGTGTCTCATGTACCCACTTCTCCATATCTTCAGGATTAGACAAGAATTACATGTAATTATGTGTGTCTCATGTACCCACTTCTCCATATCTTCAGGATTTAGACAAGAATTACATGTAATTATGTGTGTCTCATGTACCCACTTCTCCATATCTTAATGGATTAGACAAGAATTACATGTAATTATGTGTGTCTCATGTACCCACTTCTCCATATCTTCAGGATTTAGACAAGAATTACATGTAATTATGTGTGTCTCATGTACCCACTTCTCCATATCTTCAGGATTTAGACAGGAATTACATGTAATTATGTGTGACTCATGTGTGACTCATGTACCTACTTCTCCATATCTTCAGGATTTAGACAAGAATTACATGTAATTATGTGTGTCTCATGTACCCACTTCTCCATATCTTAATGGATTAGACAAGAATTACATGTAATTATGTGTGTCTCAGGTACCCACTTCTCCACATCTTAATGGATTAGACAAGAATTACATGTAATTATGTGTGTCTCATGTACCCACTTCTCCATATCTTAAGGATTAGACAGGAATTACATGTAATTATGTGTGTCTCATGTACCCACTTCTCCATATCTTCAGGATTTAGACAAGAATTACATGTAATTATGTGTGTCTCAGGTACCCACTTCTCCACATCTTAATGGATTAGACAAGAATTACATGTAATTATGTGTGTCTCATGTACCCACTTCTCCATATCTTCAGGATTTAGACAAGAATTACATGTAATTATGTGTGTCTCATGTACCCACTTCTCCATATCTTAATGGATTAGACAAGAATTACATGTAATTATGTGTGTCTCATGTACCCACTTCTCCATATCTTAATGGATTAGACAAGAATTACATGTAATTATGTGTGTCTCAGGTACCCACTTCTCCATATCTTCAGGATTAGACAGGAATTACATGTAATTATGTGTGTCTCATGTACCCACTTCTCCATATCTTAATGGATTAGACAAGAATTACATGTAATTATGTGTGTCTCATGTACCCACTTCTCCATATCTTCAGGATTTGACAAGAATTACATGTAATTATGTGTGTCTCGTGTACCCACTTCTCCATATCTTCAGGATTTAGACAGGAATTACATGTAATTATGTGTGACTCACGTACCCACTTCTCCACATCTTAATGGATTAGACAAGAATTACATGTAATTATGTGTGTCTCAGGTACCCACTTCTCCACATCTTAATGGATTAGACAAGAATTACATGTAATTATGTGTCACTCACGTACCCACTTCTCCATATCTTCAGGATTTAGACAAGAATTACATGTAATTATGTGTGACTCAGGTACCCACTTCTCCATATCTTCATGTGGATTAGACAAGAATTACATGTAATTATGTGTGTACATGTAACTTCTCCATATGTGTGAATTACATGTAATTGTGTGTCTCATGTACCCACTTCTCCACATCTTAATGGATTAGACAAGAATTACATGTAATTATGTGTCTCATGTACCCACTTCTCCATATCTTCAGGATTTCGACAAGAATTACATGTAATTATGTGTGTCTCATGTACCCACCTCTCCATATCTTCAGGATTAGACAGGAATGACATGTAATTATGTGTGTCTCATGTACCCACTTCTCCATATGTTAATGGATTAGACAGGAATTACATGTAATTATGTGTGTCTCATGTACCCACTTCTCCATACATCTTAATGTATTAGACAAGAATTACATGTGTGTCTCATGTACCCACTTCTCCAAATCTTCAGGATTTAGACAAGAATTACATGTAATTATGTGTGTGTCACTTCTCCATATCTTCAGGATTAGACAAAAATTACATGTAATTATGTGTGTCTCATGTACCCACTTCTCCATATCTTCAGGATTTAGACAAGAATTACATGTAATTATGTGTGTCTCATGTACCCACTTCTCCATATCTTAATGGATTAGACAAGAATTACATGTAATTATGTGTGTCTCAGGTACCCACTTCTCCATATCTTCAGGATTAGACAGGAATTACATGTAATTATGTGTGTCTCATGTACCCACTTCTCCATATCTTCAGGATTTAGACAAGAATTACATGTAATTATGTGTGTCTCATGTACCTACTTCTCAATATCTTCAGGATTAGACAGGAATTACTTGTAATTATGTGTGTCTCATGTACCCACTTCTCCATATCTTCAGGATTTGACAAGAATTACATGTAATTATGTGTCTCACGTTCCCACTTCTCCTTATCTTAATGGATTAGACAAGAATTACATGTAATTATGTGTGTCACTTGTACCTACTTCTCCATATCTTAAGGATTAGACATGTACCTACTTCTCCATATCTTCAGGATTAGACAGGAATTACATGTAATTATGTGTGTCTCATGTACATACTTCTCCATATGTTAATGGATTAGACAGGAATTACATGTAATTATGTGTGTCTCAGGTACCAACTTCTCCACATCTTAATGGATTAGACAAGAATTACATGTAATTATGTGTGTCATGTACCAACTTCTCCATATCTTCAGGATTAGACAGGAATTACATGTAATTATGTGTGTCTCATGTACCCACTTCTCCATATCTTCAGGATTAGACAAGAATTACATGTAATTATGTGTGTGTCAGGATTTGACAAGAATTACATGTAATTATGTGTCTCACGTACCCACTTCTCCATATCTTAATGGATTAGACAAGAATTACATGTAATTATGTGTGTCTCATGTACCTACTTCTCCATATCTTCAGGATTAGACAGGAATTACATGTAATTATGTGTGTCTCATGTACCCACTTCTCCATATCTTCAGGATTTAGACAAGAATTACATGTAATTATGTGTGTCTCATGTACCCACTTCTCCATATCTTAATGGATTAGACAGGAATTACTTGTAATTATGTGTGTCTCATGTACCCACTTCTCCATATCTTCAGGATTTGACAAGAATTACATGTAATTATGTGTCTCACGTTCCCACTTCTCCTTATCTTAATGGATTAGACAAGAATTACATGTAATTATGTGTGTCTCACGTACCTACTTCTCCATATCTTAATGGATTAGACAAGAATTACATGTAATTATGTGTGTCTCATGTACCCACCTCTCCATATCTTAATGGATTAGACAAGAATTACATGTAATTATGTGTGACTCATGTACCTACTTCTCCATATTAGACATGAATTACATGTAATTAGGATTGTGTGTGTCTCATGTACCCACTTCTCCATATCTTAATGGATTAGACAAGAATTACATGTAATTATGTGTGTCTCATGTACCCACCTCTCCATATCTTAATGTATTAGACAAGATTTACATGTAATTATGTGTGTCTCACGTACCTACTTCTCCATATCTTAATGGATTAGACAAGAATTACATGTAATTATGTGTGTGTACCCACTTCTCCATATCTTCAGGATGTGATTAGACAAGAATTACATGTAATTATGTGTGTCTCATGTACCCACTTCTCCATATCTTAAGGATTTTTACAGGAATTACATGTA